TTTTTTCTGCCCAGAGAAACTTCTTCCTACCGCTTCCCCCCGACCTTCCGCCAACGGCCGGAGGCTCAAGTGTTGAAAAATTCGGAGATTCAGCAAACTGGCAATAAACCTTGTGAAAAGGTCAAACAGCTGGCGAATTGAGAGGTATGTTGATACCGGTAGTGAGCGTGCCATCTTCCCGAAACTAAGACACACGGGGCAGGGCTCTCCCAGGAATGTACGGCAGCTACTACAAATCATATAGCTTAAACCGAAACACTAGGAAATATATACAGGTGTTGCCTCTTAACCCCCGGGGGCAGAAGTACATACACATACATACAGATCACACACACACACATGTATATATATAATATTATATAATATGTACCTCCAAAATTGATTATAGTTAATTTACTATTTATATACAGTCAATTTAAAACACCCAAAAAAAAGGTATCCATTCAGTCATGGAGGTAGCTGAGGCCGGAAACGGGAGTGGGATGTGCAACTTGTCTGCCTCGGTCATGCGCCACCAAGCCACAAGCGACACAGGGATTTCATGCAAAATCATGCCCCCCAGTTCGAAGCTGGTTCATGAACCCCAGTAACTATACTTACTTTAAACCCCATTAAAACTTACTTTCTATCTACCATAAACCTCCATTTTTCCACTCAAAATGGGCGAAACAACTAACATAGATGTGGAAAACCGATGGAAAACCCATGGGTTTTCCTAGGAAACTCATGGTTTTCCTAGGAAACTCATCTACAAAATGGTAGGATTTCATGGGATTTCCACATTTTTCCATATTTTTCCCGTCAAATCCCCTCAACGGTCCTTACCGAGGAGCGATGGAGTGGGCAAAGCGACGGATCTGGATGTCCATCGGCCTTCAAGGAGCCCAGCCAGTTGAAATTCAGGGTGTAAAGTTTATATCTGTATATAATAGAAATCTATGTATTATATATATATAATTTAAAATTCATATATAAATAATCATGTGTATATAACATATATATATATAGGTAACCATAGCCATTGAACATGATCATTTCATGCAGAAAAATTGGTAAATAGTGAGATAGAATGGTGATTATCTGGATAAATGGGGTACAAGGTACCCCCAGTCGTGTTGGTTTGTAATCCCCATTAACTATAGATGAAACCCCCATAAACCCTCGTTATTGGAGTTATAAACTAATTTAGCTCAATGTGGGGCACCACCCTGCATGATGATGGGCAAACAGCATGATGATGAGCGAATGTGGTGAATATAAATATACATGGTGTTTACTTCGATGATCTTGATCCATCACCCTACCCTCTGGTAAACCAACATGGCTATTGAAAATGGCCATAGAAATAGTTGATTTTACCCATTAAGAATTGTGATTTTCCATAGTTACGTTAGTTTACCAGAGGGTGCCCCAAACGTTCTGTGTATGGAATAGGTATGCATTTTTATCTCAGCAAGGCTGATGACGTACTTACCTGTTGAAAAACTGTCGGACCTATTGAAACCTACAAAACCAAACACTATGTGTTGTGATGAATCATCATTGTTTCTCTTTGGGCAAAACCCAGCATTTTCAGACACACATCTAGAAGTTCTCTAATATCAAGTTGGTTATACTCCCCTATATCCTACTATATCAATCTATATCATATCATTCTATATTATATTATTTTATTTTATATTATATTATATTATATCATGCCCCCATGATATCTCCATACATCATGCCATAGCATCAGCTGCCAACCTGCATTCCCCCCAAAGGTCCCACCTTTTCTCCTCCGAGGGAGGGTGAAAGCCTCGAACGACCTGCTGGACATATCTGGACATCGGGGGTGTTCTCCTGGAAACTACTGGAAAAAACATGTAAAACCATAGAAACTATACTTTCTGCAGGATTTCTGGAAATCTGTCACCATTGTGGTTGAATTCAAAAACAAAAAAAACGAAAAAAAAACGGGACCTCCGTTCCCCCAGGCTTTTCGCTTCGGCACCTGTTTTTGAAGGTCCAGGGGCAAGCTGTCCAGATATTCCGCAGTTTGCTGATCCAGACCCCTGCGCCATGAAAAAACCATGGGAAGCCCGGTGGATGGCCGGCTTCTAGGAGAACCAAAGGCCACACAAATTTCAAGATATTGATAAAATTTATAGTAACCCCCAAGAAGATAGAACATGATAGAACAGTAAAATCCTACTCAAGTAGTCATAAATGTCATAAATCACAACTTTTTATCTGACTTGGGGTGTACTGACTAAGCAGGTTTTTAAGTGTAGGACTGATCCCATCGGGGATCAACCCATGAGGTTCACCAGAAAGCCATGGGAAAACCATCGACAGTGGCGTGAAAAAAATGACCGGAACCAACTTATAATCGGCACCACCTTGCAGTTTATGGGATGCTTATGGCTCACCAAGATCTGACATAAAAAAAAAAACTCGCGATGCAAAACGTTTTTCACTCGAGCGCGGTCGCAGCTGAAACAGCTGCGCGATGCTTAAAGGAAACCCCAAAGCTGATCCGTGAATGATGACTGGTTGGAGAATCGTTAAGTTCAACAGTTCCATCCCACTTCAAGTCCTTCTCATTGCCCGGTTTTCTTGGGTTATTGCAAGTTTAACTTCAATTCACTCCATCCAAAAGGGTGCATCTTTCACGGTGACTTTGCGGTGGTTTGATTATCTGCAGATTATCTGGATGTAGCCCCCTGGGCGTCCCTGGTTTTGAAGTGTGTCATCTGGATTCGAACATCTTCAGGCGTTGCCGTAGCAGAGCGGATGACCTTGGCACAACGTGATGCGCCATGCTGGTAGATCGTCCGTGGTAAAAGGCTACGACTCTGGTTTCATCATGTTTCTTCAGTACTCTAGGACAAGCAACTGGAAATTTCACGAACGGAGATGTGGAAAACTGGAATCTGTCGGAAACCCATGGTTTTCCCAAAGGAAAATGATCTACATGTCTGGTAGGTTTTCCTGGGTAATAGAATGTAGGTGCGATGGGCCCATAACTGGCATGGGAAATGCTGGTAGCCCCATTCTGCAGGTCTAAACTCATCATGATCCTCCCATTGGTCAACGTTTCAGGCCTCAAAATGAGATCTGGGCCAGTTCTGTAAAGTTTATCTCTTTTTTGACAGCTCATTGATTGATCCTCAAAGTGGGGCCTAGGTAAAAGTTGGTGAGCCCCATCTAACTGATATATCCCCCAGAATTCAACGAAAACACTTGTCGTAAGAATCAACCAACGGAAAGCCATCGACTGGGCCCCATTCTCTGCCGCACATTTTCTCCCGGCAGCCAAGCCCCAGCAGTCCACTCCCTTTAGGATGGGTGGAGGCCGGGGATTTGTAGGCTGCAAAAATAATCATGGCTGGCATGGGACACCCGTTTCAATTGCGTTTAAAAAAGGTACCATCTGACCAATAGAAGCTAAGTTTTAACCCAAAAATGCGAAATGGATCACTTAGAGTTGGATGAAGGAACGAAATTCCACAAAAAACATCGGAAAACCCAATCTTTGGATTTCGTATATAGTTTCCTATATCCAATTTCGAAACCATTGGATTGGTTTAGGGCCCAAAGGGAAAAATCCACGAGGGAAACCCTCATCATCCTAATCTTTACAGTAATCGGAAAACCTTCGAAAACCCATTATTTCCTGCTGAGTTTACCTGGTTTTTTTCATATGGATCCCATGTGCGCCGAGTTGAGCAGCCGGAAGTGCGTGTCGTTTCGACATGTGCCGCGTGCGGATTTAGTGGTGATTTAGGGAGTCTATTGGTACAATAGTACGATGAGATATGATGCTATATGATATTAGGAATATGATAAATAAATTTAAATAAGATGACAATACATCATGATCCATAATTTGGTGAAAACAATTGAAAACATATCTACATATATGATAATAAATAACAATAATGTGGGCTCCTGATTAGTGTGGTGGGTCGCTTTTGTGTCAAGTTTTCCCAAAATAGTTCAGACCCTGTGGAAATGATTGGGTGGGTCGCTATTGTGTAAAGCTTTTTTGGGGATATTGTGTCATGTGTTTTTTCAGTTTTTTTTCTAGATTTTTTTCGGTTGTTTTTTTATTTTATTTGTTTAAGGTTTTTTTTTCATGAGCAATATTGATCCTAAATCATGTGTGTGTTGTGGTGGTCCTCTATTGTGTGAAGCTGTTGTCTGAAGAAACATTTTTTAAGGTTATAGTAATTATGTATGACCCATCAGCAATAATTATATAGGATGCATTATTAAAAATTATTAAAACACAATTAAAAAACTGCACTCAAACAATTTTTCAAGGGGTAGTCCATGAGCAACCCTGATCCTCAATAGTATGTTTGTTGTGGGGGTCCTCTATTGTGTCACAGCTGTTGTCTGAGGTGAAAATGTTCCAAAATCATTCTCTCCTTTCCTTTTGCTATCCTTTGCTTATACTTTTCTCTTTTTTACTTTCTTAGCTCCATTCTTTTGGAATTCTCAAAATGTCTAATTTCCCAAAATCAATCGACGAAAAATATTCAGACCCTTTGACCTAAAAAATAAAATAAATAAAGAGGATCCAAAATTGTTTGGGGGGCCCCCTACTAATCAGGTGCCAACAGTATGCTAGAATATCATATCATCATTATAGGGCTGGAAAATGAACAATCATTTCTCTCAGAAACGGAACGATTCATGACCAAAATTGGAACCGTCCAATGTGTCGGAACTGAACTTCCAGGCGTGCTCTGAATTCGGCTGCTGGGATAGAACGAGCAGCCAATTGCCTTATGAACTGGTGACTAGTGCACCATGTTTCACCCTTGACATGGTCAACCTTTGGTAGTCCACAAAAAGGAATCTTTTGTCCAAGGTTGGGGATGTTGAAGACTACTTATTGATGTGGCGTCTAGTTGGAGGTCTCAACATTCTCAACTCATCCAGTGAACTCAGATCATCCTAGCATAACTAGCCGATAAACACTCAGATTGCCTGGTTAAATCAATTTATAGCACCAATTTACCTAGTTGTTTTCCATTGTTTTCCCACATAGGTTTCATCTCAACGGCTCCAATCGCTGGGCCCGTTGTGCTCTCCGGAGGTCCCCCGGCGACACCAGGGGCGGAGGGGGCGACCTAGGCTGTACAAAAAATGATGGAAGATCACCATGTTTCAAGTACATCAACTCTCTCTCTCTCTCTCTCTCTCTCTCTCTCTCCATTGCCACCTCCGAGAGTCATCAACTGTAAATGGTGATTTTTTCGATGTAAATATTGACCCATTCACTACTATAAACATCGCAGAGACATCCCCAGCCGAGCCACTTGCTCCGCTGCACCCACACCTTCCGCTTCGGCATTGATGGTGCCCGCGGGCGCCGCACCGGCGGCCGCGGCGGCCGCGGCGGCCGCGGTGTTCGGTTTTTGCACCGCGGTGGCGGGGGTCCTGGCACGTGGGTGCCACCCCTATGTTTGGTGTTTAAAAGTAGATCCTCCTTATGTTATAGATGATGTTTAATGATTTAGCATATATTAAATACTGATGTGCCATAGTTTTCAATTACCAGCAACCCACCTATAATAAACATCAATAAACAACTATAATTAATCATCATAAATCCAATCGTGAAGCTAGTTGTGAACCAACGAAGAAGCGAAGGAATTCGGGAAACCACCTTGTGGGAGTTGGCCCTGCATCGACTTCACCAGTAGAATCATCATTTCATGTCATTTGAAGATCACATTCATATCGATGTACTGTATATACAAATTGGCATATATAATATTATTTTCTTCATATCATCAAAATCAGCAAGGACATCATATCATATCAATGTACCTAGACCTAGACCCTCCCTTTGTAGCCAATGATTTTGGTACTTTCTCATTGTTGCGGTGGCCCCGAACCACGCCTGGCACGGCGATTTCCGCCTCTGGCGCCGAGAGCAAGGAGCGGCGTCGCCCGCGGGGGCTGCTGGCGGGGCTGGCGGGGCTGTCGCCCACCTGGGATGAAGGGAGTTCAAGCCACAAAGAGGTGACGTTGGAAAACAAAAATGTGGATTGAAACAATCATGGTGACCATCATCATCATCATAATAATAATAATCATCATGATCATCATCATCATAATCATCATCATCATCATCATAATCATCATGATCATCATACATATATATATATAATGTATATCGGTTAAACCCTTTGTGGAAGAAATCTGCATCTTATCAGATTTTCAGCCTGCATAAATCCATACATTTCACCATGTTTGATTGTTAAATCCCATCGGTTCATCATGTTTGTTGCATCAGCTCCCCACATCCCCGATGCCGCCGCCATGGCCCCATGGCCACGTCGAACCGGGCCACGTCCGAAGTCAGGTCGATCGCCAGACTGGAGTTCTTGTCCTCGGGATGACGTCCGTCGATCTTGAGGGCAAGATGTCATGTTAATGGTGATTAATGGTGCTTAATGGTGATTATTGGTTGATTAAAACAATGGAAACCCCTTAGATAATGTATATCTTAATGGGGATATAGGTGTTAATACCCTCTGGTTATGACTAACATAGCCATGGTATAGATGGCCCATAGAAATAGATAGTTTACCTAGCTACAAAATGATGGATCTTTCCATGGCGAACTGTTGAATAACCAGATGGTAGGTGGATTTAACCAGTGAAATATGTGACTTGAACCAACAAACATGTGAATTTAAGCAACAAAATTTGGGACTTAACTAGCGAATATAGGAATTAAAACAACAAATTGCTGGGTCCATGTTCAACCAAACCGTTGTTTGGATTTTAGCATCTTCAGCTTCTTTCCATTGAAATATTCCCCGGAGATTTCAAATATTGTCAAACTTGGATCCAAATGTAACCCTACTGTAGATGGACTGGATTTCTTACCAACACAGTTCCGGGGTAGTTCCGGGGTAGAAGAAACCAACCATTTTAAGGGGATATTATGGAATATAATGGGAATGCTATAGAATATAAATCCCCAAAACAGTAAGGCTTCCAGGGTTCTAGGGTTGGCCGAGGAAACAATGCACCACCCCCAGACCCAGAGATTGAAGCCCACCAGGCATCTTACTAACAAGGTGCTACTATGTGCTACTTATGATGGGGTTGCCGTACAGAAGTAGAGCCAAACAGCATTTTAATATGGAAAATCAACCCTTTACATTGCCAAATTTCACAAAGCCCGCGTTTAATTAAGCAGGAGGTTTGTGAATAAGGAATCTGTATAGAGATGCGGATTTTTTCCAAGACTGAATTCATGTAGATTCATATTGATCCCTTCTCCCTAATACTAAATTTCCCCCCCTCTCCCCAATAATAAACACGGCAGGTAGTATTAGGGGGGTATTTAGTATTAGGGAACCCTAATACTAAATTAAAACCCCTAATAATAAAAACTATTTTTTCCGATTTCAAAATCAATTAAGGTTCCTTATATAACGCAATTAAAATATTGCCAAAAATTGGATTTCGAAGCTTCCCCCTAATACTAAATTAAAACCCTTAATAGTAAAAACTATTTTTTCTGATCTCAAAATCAATTAAGGTTCCTTTTATAACGCAATTAGAATATTGCCAAAAATTGGATTTCGAAGCTTCCCCCTAATACTAAATTAAAACCTTTAATAATAAAATAATTTTTCCGATTTCAAAAGCAATTAAAAATCGTTATATAACGCAATTAAAATATTGCCAAAAATTGGATTTCGAAGCTTCCCCCTAATACTAAATTAAAACCCTTAATATAAACATTTTTTCCGATTTCAAAATCAATTAAATTTCTTTATATAACGCAATTAAAATATTGCCAAAAATTGAATCCTAATACCAAACACCCCGGGGTTGATTAGTTTTTAGTATTAGGGGGGGAAACCCACAAATGGTAGGTTGATTTTTAAATTGTTTTCTAAAGGGTATCAATTAAAAGTCAAATTGGCCAAACTGAAATTTTCAGAAATTGGAGATGGACGCCTGTTTTTAGTATTTGGGGGACGTTTAGTAATAGGGAGAGGGGATTATTTTGATCGATGTGCAAGATTTAGATACATCTAATTTTCAGATTTTGATGGGTCAGCTTGCAAGCCAAGGCTACATAGAAAACATTCGTTGTATAACATTCCATCCAATCCCTCCTATTGCAGGCTATTCCTGCTTCATCATGGATGCAGCGCCGGTGTGGTTTGGAAACCCCTTGGGTCAGCTGTGCCTGCCACCATGCCTGCAAGACCAAAGTACTGAAACAATCCAACTTTGCCTTGGGAAAAATTTCAACAAACCACTCAACAGAGTCCACAGGGTGTAGTGAATCAAAGATAATCAAAGCACATGAGATGAAAATTGAAAGTTTGTCCTGTCACGGAATGTGAAATCAACAATCTAAAGTCCTTGGTCACAATCAGATCTCTTTAACTGCACCCCCCCCCCGTTAGCAATATATATATACATAGCTATATAACTATAACTATATATTCATATATGTGTATGCGTGTGTATTTGTATACGCAGCATACAGTATAAAAACAATGATAATCATGTATATATATATATATATGTGGACATATATATATATATATATATATATGGACATATTATATTTATATATATGGACATATTATATATATATGACATAATGATACATAGTGCCCATTGTGTTCCCAAGATCCAAAATCACCCTACGGCGCTCGATCTCGGCCAAGCAACGCTGGAGATGGCAGACCAGTGCCTAAAACGAGCCGGCGGGATTTCACCCAATACTGGAAAAAAAACAGAAACATCCAGAAACCCTGATCTAGTAGTGAACCGCTGAAAATTTTGGGGGCCCCTAGGTTCTCATATATCAACCCCATACTTGATGGATTGGTACTGTGCAAGCTTAATCAAGGTAAACACAATACTAAACCAAACCCAAAATCACCATAAAAGGGGTCGTATAAACCATCCCCAAACGGTCAGCAGAGCCCAAGGGGCTTGACGAAGAAAATGGAAGGGTCCCAATCCTCTCGCGGCTTGGCGTACATTTTGGTACCTTCGCGAAGCGGGACAGGCCGTCCCTTTGGAAAATAGCACCGTTCCTGGGGATTTCATAACCCATGGGACTGTGTATATCAGACTTATCACTAAGGGGGGGTATTCAAGTGCGGCTGTAGCTTAAGTTCATCCCCAGGATCAGTGACCAATTTTGATTCTGACCGTCCAGCCACAAAAAGGCCCTGCAGCCCCAAACACCTTCCCACGAAGAATAGCAGCACCGCCGAAGCTACAGTGCGACAAGTGCACACTGGGATAAGAAGCTGTTTGCTGACAACTTATATCGGGTTAGGGCCTTTTCCAATATAATTATAGGGTTCTCTGCACCGGCCCATGCAAGTTTGTCCATTCACGATTTCAAGGGCATGGAGGCTTTTTCTGGATTTGGTACTTGGTTTGGCCAAACTGTTTGGCCTAACCAAGTACCAAATCCAGACAAAACATCGTCCCGCTTTGCTTGGCGATGCCGCGATGCGATGGGTGATGGTGATGGTGATGGTGATGGTGATGGTGATGATGATGATGATGATGATGATGATGTTGCTGCTGGTGGCAGCCTATTCATTCATCAACCTGCAGCTTCTACAACCAGCCCATCAGTTTGCTGTAACAATGCTCAGGCATAAGTTGCCTCATGCACTTGGGCAGGACGGGAAAAAAACAACGTGTGTATGCTATTCAACTGCTATTCCACGGCTGTGGGAGATTACATTCCTCATAACAATTGCCAACATGCCTCTCCATTCACCATGTGATTTCCTTAGTCTCCTTTCTTGGATTTGCGTAAGGAACCCCCATCATCAAAAATATAAAACTCCTCCCTGTCGATTCCCGATTTCTCCTGGATTTCCCCTTGGGATAAGACAAACCATCGACTCAGGCTTACTTCTATCCCAAAAATCGGAAATCTCATAAAATATCATCAAATACCGGGTGTGTGTTAAAGTAGTGGTCTCCAAAATGGTGGTATCCAATATTTGAACTTCCCATCCATGGAAATCCACTTTTTTGGGATAGGCTAGTCGGCTAGTTCTGACCCATCTCCACTTTCAAGATGCTGAAATCGCCCAGGGTCAGGTAGGTCGCCGCGGTCGTTGCCACGTCCGCCAGATTGCCCGGCGCAGCGCGGTGCAATCTCTTTTGGAGCTGCTTGTCCTTTCCTGAGACATCCAACTTAAATGGCTCAAAAATATTCAAAAATGGCTCAAAAACGCGGTGGATTTCACCTTTTGAAAATCATGACTGGTTGGTGGTTGAGCCACCTACCCCTCTGAAAAAAGATGGAGTGAAAGTCAGTTGGGATGATGACATTCCCCAACTGAATGGAAAAATAAAAGCCATGTTCCAAACCACCAACCAGATGAACAATTTAAACAACATGGGACTTCACCACGAAGTCCCATGATTTTAATACGGATTTCACCATTTTTGGTCACGGATTTACTCATGTGCCCTTAAAAACTGCAGGAAACCTTGCTTTCTGTCCACCCAATCGGAATATTTTTTCGTGTTCAACCAATCTAGGATAATTTTAATGAGAATTCTGAGAGGATGGACGCCTATATGGATGAGATATGATGAGATGATAGCTACCAGCAGCTTGTAGAAATTCATTGGGAGTCATGAGCATCAAAAAGGTGATCTAGCCGAGCTTGGACACCCTGCCTATTACAGCCATCTCCGTGTTCCGAATGGCAACCCGACATTCCATGAATGCTGGAAATACATGCAAAAACTACCCCGAAGATGGCACATAAGCATCATGTAATCATGGGATTAACCACCCTCCCAACGATAGCTGCTTCGTATGCCCTTAGAAACGCGGTTGGTCATGGCTGATAAGTTCACAAGCTACCCTTACTATTGGTGAGGTTGCCTTTGGATGGGTATCCTACCATTCTAATCCCATGTTTGTGGGACAAATCCCCACCGAACAAATCTATTACACCTTCTGGTAATTGAACGTAGCGAACTAGAAAATCACCATGTCACAGCTAAATAGTCATAATGTTTATCATCGATTCTCATCGGCCATGGCTTCCATAGCAAAATGTTGGTCATAATCAGAGGGTCCCGGACTCGTTCATTTCCCACCTACTTGATGCTGGGGTTGACATGATGTGGTTAAAATGATGGTGTGAATGCTAACCATCATTCAGTACCATCAATTTGTCATGGAAGCCATGGCTTCCATGTTTTTTCCACTGCGTTTTCTTTTTCACCAGAGCTTGGTGGTCCACATTATATCCATATCATTCTACATCCCACAGGTTTTTAATGGATATCCTATGACCAATGGATATCTATGATTCCTGACAATAATGTTATCTTATACCTGGTTTATACCTCGCCAACCAATAATAAGGAAACAACATATCCCATAAAGTTCCCAAAAGATCATATAATATCTATATCCCATAGGTTTATCTCCGGTCCTTAAATGGTGCTTTGACCAATCAAAATCTCCCAAGTGCTGAGCCGAGCAGCTCAAAGCCTTCAAGCGCCGCAGCTGCTGGGCCGGTGAGTCGCTGTAAAACCTCGAGGCACACGGCGGAAGCTGTGGTGCTACAGGCTTAATGCTGGTTGAAGGCGGGCTGAGCGTGGCATGGTATTGGATTGGTTTATCTATACATTTCTATATTAGACATATATTTAGACATCGCATAGTTGTTTTTGGAACATAGAAAATGAAAGATGGGATTATTTCATAGGAACATGATCTATGAATGGAATATCACGGGGATATACAGTAATATATGTTAATATGATGCAAGTATAATGATGTGTATACTATATATATACGCACCAATGTCTGTGTGTCTGAAATGGGTGATTTAACCTATATTTCCCCTATTTTCCGCCATTGAAAAAGGACACCATGAATATCAACAAGTGGATAGAGTTGGATACAATCTATAGAATATGATAGAACGGGGCATCCTATGTTCAGACAACGAACCACAAGCTACCTATGTCGGTGTCCAACGCTTGACCTTTAAAGAAGTCTTCCAATGCCGCACATCAAAATGGGGTTGTTGGTTTCAGCACTTGGGGATCGTTACTTCCAGCAGAGTACATGATTGCAACCACCTATCCTAAAGTGAGGGTATAAGAAATCCTGCCCTAAAGGAGGGTTGAAACCCTATAATTCATGGGATGTTTACCATCTTTCAACTAGTGCAGGATTTCTGGCCTCCACGTTATTAGCCTAAACATTGAGGTTGAATGAATTTGTATGTGTGATTATGTGTACATATGTAGTATATGTATATGTATATATGTGTATTGTACATATGTATGTATGTATGAATGGATGGATGGATGTATCTATGGATGGATGAATGGATGATATATATTTATATGTGTACAGCATATATGTGTACAGTATGTATGTATTTATGTATGTCTGTATGTATGCATGTATACATATACCGTATATGTATGTATGTATGTATGTATGTATGTATGTGTAAATGTATGTATATATATGTATGTATATGTATGTATGTATGTGTATGTATATGTATGTATATGTATGTATGTGTATGTATATGTATGTATATGTATATGTATGTATATGTATGTATATGTATGTATATGTATGTATATGTATGTATATGTATGTATATGTATGTATATGTATGTATATGTATGTGTCTGTATGTATAATATGTATGTATATGCATGTATATGCATGTATATGTATGTATATGTATGTATATGTATGTATATGTATGTATGTGTGCATGTATGTGTGCATGTATGTGTGCATGTATGTGTGCATGTATGTGTGCATGTATGTGTGCATGTATGTGTGCATGTATGTGTGCATGTATGTGTGGATGTATGTGTGCATGTATGTGTGCATGTATGTGTGCATGTATGTGTGCATGTATGTGTGCATGTATGTGTGCATGTATGTGTGCATGTATGTGTGCATGTATGTGTGCATGTATGTGTGCATGTATGTGTGCATGTATGTGTGCATGTATGTGCATGTATATGTATGTGCATGTATGTGCATGTACGTGCATGTATGTTCATGTATGTGTATGTATGTGTATGTATGTCTGTCTGTCTGTCTGTATGTGTGTGTGCCTGTATGTATGTATGTATGAATGTATGTATGTGTGCATGTATGTGTGCATGTATGTGTGCATGTATGTGTGCATGTATGTGTGCATGTATGTGTGCATGTATGTGTGCATGTATGTGTATAAGTATGTGTGCATGTATGTGTGCATGTATGTGTGCATGTATGTGTATAAGTATGTGTGCATGTATGTGTGCATGTATGTGTGCATGTATGTGTGCATGTATGTGTGCATGTATGTGTGCATGTATGTGTGCATGTATGTGTGCATGTATGTGTGCATGTATGTGTGCATGTATGTGTGCATGTATGTGTGCATGTATGTGTGCATGTATGTGTGCATGTATGTGTGCATGTATGTGCATGTATATGTATGTGCATGTATGTGCATGTACGTGCATGTATGTTCATGTATGTGTATGTATGTGTATGTATGTGTATGTGTGTATGTATGTCTGTGTGTCTGTATGTGTGTGTGTCTGTATGTATGTATGTATGTGTATGTATGTGTATGTGTGTGTATGTATGTGTATGTGTGTGTATGTATGTCTGTATGTGTGTGTATGTATGTCTGTATGTCTGTATGTATGTATTTATGTATTTCTGTGTATATGTATGTATGTATGTATGTATGTAGGTCACGCGCGGATTCGGAAACTAGAACCGCGGATTCGGAAACTAACGGGCACGCGGATTCGGAAACTAAGACTCGGAAACTAACACCGCGGATTCGGAAACTAGGATTCGGAAACTAGGATTCGGAAACTAGGATTCGGAAACTAACAGACACGGATTCGGAAACTAAGATTCGGTAACAAAAAAAAGAGGATTCGGAAACTATGGAGGACGGGGATTCGGAAACTGTGATTCGGAAACTAAAAGCGCAGATTCGGAAACAAAAACCGTGGATTCGGAAACTAAAACCGTGGATTCGGAAACTAAAACCGCAGATTCGGAAACTGACGCAGACGCGGATTCGGAAATTGTGATTCGGAAACTAAAACCGCGGATTCGGAAACTAGGATTCGGAAACCCCAAGCGCGGAGTCGGAAACTAAAAACCGCGGATTCGGAAACGAACACTAACGCAGATTCGGACACTAAGATTCGGAAACTACAGCACGCGGATTCGGAAACTAAAAGCGCGGATTCGGAGGCGAAGATTCGGAAACGAACACATCTTATCCTTGTGGACAATGCAAATCAATGTGAAGTTCCACGGGGGTGGGAATTTTGATATCATCTGATCCGTGTGTAAAGTCCAAGTCAATTTGAAGTTCCATCGGGGTGGGAATTGTTATATCATCTTTTCCTTGTGGACATTCCAAGTCAATGTGAAGTTCCATGGGGGTGGGAATTGTGATATCATCTGATCCTTGTGGACAGTCCAAATCAATGTGAAGTTCCATGGGGGTGGGAATTTTGATATCATCTTATCCTTGTGGACAATGCAAATCAATGTGAAGTTCCACGGGGGTGGGAATTTTGATATCATCTGATCCTTGTGGACAGTCCAAATCAATGTGAAGTTCCATGGGGGTGGGAATTTGATATCATCTTATCCTTGTGGACAATGCAAATCACTGTGAAGTTCCACGGGGGTGGGAATTTTGATATCATCTGATCCGTGTGTAAAGTCCAAGTCAATTTGAAGTTCCATCGGGGTGGGAATTGTTATATCATCTTTTCCTTGTGGACATTCCAAGTCAATGTGAAGTTCCACGGGGGTGGGAATTTTGATATCATCTTATCCTTGTTGACATTCCAAGTCAATGTGGGGGTGGGAATGTTGATATCATCGGACACTTGTGGACATTCCAAGTCAATGTGAAGTTCCATGGGGGTGGGAATTTTGATATCATCTGATCCTTGTGGACATTCCAAGTCAATGTGAAGTTCCATGGGGGTGGGAATGTTGATATCATCGGACACTTGTGGACATTCCAAGTCAATGTGAAGTTGCATGGGGGTGGGAATTTGGATATCATCTGATCCTTGTGGACATTCCAAGTCAATGTGAAGTTCCATGGGGGTGGGAATTTGGATATCATCTGATCCTTGTGGACATTCCAAGTCAATGTGAAGTTCCACGGGGGTGGGAATTTTGATATCATCTGATCCTTGTGGACATTCCAAGTCAATGTGAAGTTCCATGGGGGTGGGAATTTGGATATCATCTGATCCTTGTGGACATTCCAAGTCAATGTGAAGTTCCACGGGGGTGGGAATTTTGATATCATCTTTTCCTTGTGGACATTCCAAGTCAATTTGAAGTTCCATGGGGGTGGGAATTGTGATATCATCTTATCCTTGTGGACAATGCAAATCAATGTGAAGTTCCACGGGGGTGGGAATTTTGATATCATCTGATCCTTGTGGACAGTCCAAATCAATGTGAAGTTCCATTGGGGTGGGAAGTTTGATATCATCTGATCCTTGTGTAAAGTCCAAGTCAATTTGAAGTTCGATGGGGGTGGGAATTGTGATATCATCTTTTCCTTGTGGACATTCCAAGTCAATTTGAAGTTCCACGGGGGTGGGAATTTTGATATCATCTGATCCTTGTGGAAAGCCGAAGTCGATTTGAAGTTCCATGGGGGGTGGGAATTTTGATATCATCTTATCCTTGTGGACAATGCAAATCAATGTGAAGTTCCACGGGGGTGGGAATTTTGATATCATCTGATCCGTGTGTAAAGTCCAAGTCAATTTGAAGTTCCATCGGGGTGGGAATTGTTATATCATCTTTTCCTTGTGGACATTCCAAGTCAATGTGAAGTTCCATGGGGGTGGGAATTGTGATATCATCTGATCCTTGTGGACAGTCCAAATCAATGTGAAGTTCCATGGGGGTGGGAATTTTGATATCATCTTATCCTTGTGGACAATGCAAATCAATGTGAAGTTCCACGGGGGTGGGAATTTTGATATCATCTGATCCTTGTGGACAGTCCAAATCAATGTGAAGTTCCATGGGGGTGGGAATTTGATATCATCTTATCCTTGTGGACAATGCAAATCACTGTGAAGTTCCACGGGGGTCGGAATTTTGATATCATCTTATCCTTGTGGACATTCCAAGCCAATGTGCGGGTGGGAATTTTGAGATCATCTTATCCTTGTGGACAGTCCAAGTCAATGTGAAGTTCCACGGGGGTGGGAATCATCTTATCCTTGTGGACATTCCAAGTCAATGTGGGGGTGGGAATTTTGAGATCATCTTATCCTTGTGGACAGTCCAAGTCAATGTGAAGATCATCATATCGATGCAACACCTTGCATCATCATACCATATCATTGCCATTGCTATTTGACACACAAATATTCAGATAAACAAAATGATGTCAGCTGTCAGACTTCCCAGAACCATTCCAACGTTCCACGGGGATGGGAATTTTGAGATCATCTTATCCTTGTGTAAAGTCCAAGTCAATTTGAAGTTCCATGGGGGTGGGAAGTTTGATATCATCTGATCCTCGTGGAAAGTCCAAGTCAATTTGAAGTTCCATGGGGGTGGGAATGTTGATATCATCGGACCCTTGTGGACATTCCAAGCCAATGTGAAATTCCATCGGGGCGGGAATTTTGATATCATCTGATCCTTGTGTAAAGTCCAAGTCAATTTGAAGTTCGATGGGGGTTGGAATTGTGATATCATCTTTTCCTTGTGGACATTCCAAGTCAATTTGAAGTTCCACAGGGGTGGGAATGTTGATATCATCTTATCCTTGTGGACAATGCAAATCAATGTGAAGTTCCACGGGGGTGGGAATTTTGATATCATCTGATCCTTGTGTAAAGTCCAAGTCAATTTGAAGTTCCATGGGGGTGGGAATTGTGATATCATCTGATCCTTGTGGATATTCCAAATCAATGTGAAGTTCCATGGGGGTGGGAATTTTGATATCATCTGATCCTTGTGGGCAGTCCAAATCAATGTGAAGTTCCATGGGGGTGGGAATTTTGATATCATCTTATCCTTGTGGACAGTCCAAGTCAATGTGAAGTTCCACGGGGGTGGGAATTTTGATATCATCTTATCCTTGTGGACAGTCCAAGTCAATGTGAAGTTCCACGGGGGTGGAAATTTGGATATCATCTGATCCTTGCAGACAGTCCAAGTCAATGTGAAGTTCCACGGGGGTGGGAATTTTGATATCATCTTTTCCTTGTGGACATTCCAAGCCAATGTGGGGGTGGGAATTTTGATATCACCTGATCCTTGTGGACAATGCAAATCAATGTGAAGTTCCACGGGGGTGGGAATCATCTTATCCTTGTGGACATTCCAAGTCAATGTGGGGGTGGGAATTTTGAGATCATCTTTTCCTTGTGGACATTCCAAGTCAATGTGAAGTTCCACGGGGGTGGGAATTTTGATATCATCTTATCCTTGTGGACAGTCCAAGTCAATGTGAAGTTCCACGGGGGTGGGAATTTTGATATCATCTTATCCTTGTGGACAGTCCAAGTCAATGTGAAGTTCCACGGGGGTGGAAATTTGGATATCATCTGATCCTTGCAGACAGTCCAAGTCAATGTGAAGTTCCACGGGGGTGGGAATTTTGATATCATCTTTTCCTTGTGGACAATCCAAATTAATTTGAAGTTCCATGGCATGGGGGTGGGAATTTTGATATCATCTGATCCTTGTGGACAGTCCAAATCAATGTGAAGTTCCACGGGGGTGGGATTTTTGATATAACCTTTTCCTTGTGGACATTCCAACTTAATTTGAAGTTCCATCGGGGTGGGAATTTTCATATCATCTCATCCTTGTGGACACTCCAAATCAATGTGAAGTTCCACGAGGGAGGGATTTTTGATATCATCTGATCCTTGTGGGCATTCCAAGTCAGACGTGAAGTTCCATGGAGGTGGGAATTGTGATATCATCGGATCCTTGTGTAAAGTCCAAGTCAATTTGAAGTTCCATGGGGGTTGGAATTTTGATATCATCTGATCCTTGTGCAAAATCCTGATAGTCGCGATATAGTTTCTGAATCGCGATAGTTTCTGAATCGCGATAGTTTCTGAATTGTAGTTTCTGAATCGCAGTTTCAGAATCGCCATAGTTTCTGAATCGCCATAGTTTCTGAATCGCGATAGTTTCTGAATCGCGATAGTTTCTGAATCGTAGTTTCTGAATCTCTATATCTTCTGAATCGCCTTAGTTTCTGAATCGCGATAGTTTCTGAATCGCGCTCTGTAGTTTCTGAATCGCCTTAGTTTCTGAATCGCCACAGTTTCTGAATCGGGATAGTTTCTGCATCGCGATCGTTTCTGAAGCGTATTTTCTGAATCGCTAAAGTTTCTGAATCGTAGTTTCTGAATCGTGATAGTTTCTGAATCGTAGTTTCTGAATCGCGTTAGTTTCAGAGGCGTAGTTTCTGAATCGCGATAGTTTCTGAATCGCGGTAGTTTCTGAATCGCGATAGTTTCTGAATCGCGATAGTTTCTGAATCGCGATAGTTTCTGAATCGTAGTTTCTGAAGCGCGTTAGTTTCTGAATCGCAATAGTTTCTGAATCGGTGGAAATAGTTTCTGAATCGTAGTTTCTGAATCGCAGTTTCTGAATCGCCGATAGTTTCTGAATCGGCTTTGAACCTATGTATGTATGTATGTATGTGTGTATGTGTGTGTATGTATGTATGTATGTATGTATGTATGTATGTATGTATGTATGTATGTATGTATGTATGTGTCTGTATGTATATGTATGTGTCTGTATGTGTCTGTATGTGTCTGTATGTATGTGTATGTATGTGTATGTATGTGTATGTATATGTATGTATGTGTATGTATGTGTATGTAAGTATGTGTATATGTATGTGTATAAGTATGTGTGCATGTATGTGTATAAGTATGTGTGCATGTATGTGTATAAGTATGTGTGCATTGTGTGCATGTATGTGTGCATGTATGTGTGCATGTATGTGTGCATGTATGTGTGCATGTATGTGTGCATGTATGTGTGCATGTATGTGTGCATGTATGTGTGCATGTATGTGTGCATGTATGTGTGCATGTATGTGTGTGCATGTATGTATGTGTGCATGTATGTATGTGTGCATGTATGTGTGCATGTATGTGTGCATGTATGTGTGCATGTATGTGTGCATGTATGTGTGCATGTATGTGTATAAGTATGTGTATGTATGTGTGCATGTATGTGTATAAGTATGTGTGCATGTATGTGTGCATGTATGTGTGCATGTATGTGTGCATGTATGTGTGCATGTATGTGTGCATGTATGTGTGCATGTATGTGTGCATGTATGTATGTGTGCATGTATGTATGTATGTGTGCATGTATGTATGTGTGCATGTATGTGTGCATGTATGTGTGCATGTATGTGTGCATGTATGTGTGCATGTATGTGTGCATGTATGTGTATAAGTATGTGTGCATGTATGTGTATGTGTGCATGTATGTGTGCATGTATGTGTATAAGTATGTGTGCATGTGTGCATGTATGTGTGCATGTATGTGTGCATGTATGTGTGCATGTATGTGTGCATGTATGTGTGCATGTATGTGCATGTATATGTATGTGCATGTATGTGTATAAGTATGTGTGCATGTATGTGTGCATGTATGTGTGCATGTATGTGTATGTATGTGTGCATGTATGTGTGCATGTATGTGTGCATGTATGTGTGCATGTATGTGTGCATGTATGTGTGCATGTATGTGTGCATGTATGTGTGCATGTATGTGTATAAGTATGTGTGCATGTATGTGTGCATGTATGTGTGCATGTATGTGTATAAGTATGTGTGCATGTATGTGTGCATGTATGTGTGCATGTATGTGTGCATGTATGTGTGCATGTATGTGTGCATGTATGTGTGCATGTATGTGTATAAGTATGTGTGCATGTATGTGTGCATGTATGTGTGCATGTATGTGTGCATGTATGTAAATGTATGTATATGTATGCGTATGTATAGGTATGTGTGTGTATGGATGTATGTATGTTATATATATATATATGGTATCCCCGTGACATCCCAATTATACCACCATGTTTGCTGGTGAAATCCCAATGTTTGAGGGTTATACAAAGCATCCATTACATAAAGCCATCCATTCACTGCAGGAACAGCGAAAGCAAAATCTCAACATCGCCAGGTGGCTCTTCCTCTCTTTGGGTCAGCACCACATTTGGGACTTTGAAGGCGCTGTCCTACAGCTGGGAGGTTCTCCGACATGCTTCCGGTACATCACAAGAAAACAGCCACATGTATGTATACCCACATCTTCCAAGTATGTCAAGTCTTGTTCAAATTGATAAAAGAAGAAGGATCTTCCAGGACGCAGGTATTTATTTTTAAGAACAAAGAAACGTAGAGGTGTTCATTCGATACTGCAAACGAGAAAATAACTTTGACCGGAAATCATACCAAGCAATCACGCGCAACATCTGCATATATACACACTCTGCAAAAAAGATCAAAAAAGCACACTTACACGCATCAACAGTGCTTTCATTGGTCAACTAAAGTCAAAGCGAAACAACTCAGTCGAACTTGGTCGCGCCTTCAAGCCCAACCTTTCCTCTCCATCCTGCCTGTCGCCATTGACCTGACATTTGTGGGTCGTTGCATTGGGCTTGCTGCATAAAGTGCACATGTCATTCGCCCATACAAACGTGGTGGCTGATAGCTAATAAGCCTCTACTGAAGCTTTTTCTTCCACACTTGTATAGTTTTAAGTTATAGACATTGCCCAATCCAAAACCATTATTTTCATTGGGGAGTCACCTTTGGAATTGTATTCTACGTCCCAGGGAATCCTCACAATGGTATAGTTCAAATTTTAACTTATTTAAACACCCCACTTACAGCCACTTCCCGTATGGTCAGCTAGCTTGTCGTATAACTAGGCTAACTGGGGTTTTTGGTAGACAAAGAGAACTGCTTCATCGGGATTATAAACCAATAAACGTCACTGGGGGGGCACCACCTTGTACTAATCATCAATCAATATCAGCTTTTCCATGCTGTTCTGTTTATGATTATCCCCTATATGTTTCCTATATTTTCCCGGATTACAACCACGATTTTCTCCATTTTTTTCGTCATCTTTTTCGTCTGATCTTTCCATCCCCGGATCGTTCCCGGTCTCGGCATCCGTGCTCGTAGCGCGATGTCATGCTTGTAAGCATCCCAACCTTGGACATGAGAAGCACTTTTTTGATACGTACGATGCATGGCCAATATATACTGTACAATCTGTACCCTCTATTGGTTGCAGTCGATGTTCATCTGGATTCATTTGGGGATATTTGTGCGTAGATCCCCCGCAAGTTCTCAATTAATGGCCGGACTTCGTCAATGTGTTCTAGATCGCCTGACAGTTCAGCTGGTAAACTTCCCAGGAGTGAAGCCTATCTCAGCCCCAAAAAATACCAAGAAGACTTTCAGAATCCTTGGGATCTGGATCTCATGGATTTCTGCCGCGAGTGGCGTTCAGTTTGGCGGTTCATCTGCAGAAGCCATGCGTCGCTGTACTGCATCTCCTGCGATGCTTTCAGCCTGGACCACTCTGGTGGAGCAGTTGGTCCTCATCATTGATTAAATTTAATTTGTATGGCCTAATACAGGATGGGGCCCCCAGTCGAGCTCGCGTTCAGTTGCCTTATTTATTTTTGTGGCTAAATTAACTATGGTTTATGGTAGATATAACGAACTAGTTCTTGGGGTTTATAATTTATAATGGTTTATAAGCCAACTTATAACTATTCCCATCCTAGCTGTAGGGAATATTTAGGGAACATTTCATGGGATATGTCATGGGCTATTACAAAGGATTCTGCATAAAACTAGAATCATATTTCACGAAATTGAAATCATCACATCATTTGGGGATGCTTGTCCTTAGACTCACCATCATTTCAAGTGATTCTAGCGACATCGCTGTGAGGTTGCTATAACAATTTGCCCAGAGGTATTATTACCAACACTCCAGCACAAATAATAGAATCGAATAATATGGAATATATAAAATGCTAACATGATGATGCTGGGCCACGTCTTCTTTCAGGGGACCGCCAGAAATACGAATTCTTGCTAAGCGATACACACAACGAAACGCCAGGTGAATGCGGTGTATGGATCAAAATCGACTACCGCAAGGGGATGATGTGCGATATGTCGATGCTCTCTCTCTATCTCTCTACATATATATGTTTTTTCTAGGACATACACGAAAAGAAAGGTAGAACAGTAATTCAACACTAGTTTAGTGGGATTGTCCTTTTCTATCTTAGGGGTTGTTGTATAATATATGTATATAATTATACATGATCTGGTTGCCCGAAGTGTGGCCGTTTGGGCATTCCAAATTCGTATAAATATACCATAATATACCTATTGTAATTTGAGATCTGGTTTTTACATGGATGTTCGTCGCTGAACGGATTTTTACGCGGACGATCGTGGATGTCTTCTCTGAACGGGCGTGAATGCAATTTGAACGCACTGTGAACGCAATTGGAACGTAGAGTTAACGAAGGGGGAAAGCTACTGTCAGCAATATTTTCACTGAGGAACCCAAGTTTGTACAAATTCCGCTTGTCAGTTGAAATAACCACCCCAAGGCAGTTGCAGGTACACTAACCATCATTTCTAGTGACGCTGCAGTGAGGTTCGTAATTTACAGTATCCACATGTATCCACCGCATTACATCATGAAAAATCCGGTTGCATCTTTGCAATTCTTCGGAAAAGGTATGTGCACTATGTTCTTGAGCACAGCCAATCTGATCCCCCTAAAAACACCATGGAAAAGGATTCCACAATGAACAAACCCACCAACCTCCACCAACGTCTGGGGGTAATATTAGGCGGAAGGGATCAACATATCATGAGTCATGAGCAGTTCATATGCTATATCCTTATGTTTCTCCGATCTCTACTTTCGTTGGCCAACGCTCGAATCTTTGCGCGTAAATCATCATTTGCGTTGATCAAAGTTGAATTTGGTGTGCTTGTGTTTTTTCCAACTTTTTAATGTCTAACACCTAACTTGTTACTGGAAATCCACATTTTGACTGAGTAAGTCCAATGTTTTGGTTAATTAGCAATGTTTCAAATTAATGTGGTTGGTGGTTTCAACCCATCAAACAAATATTAGCCGTTGACAGATCTTCATCTCAAATATAGTATATAGAAAATAAGAATATAAAATGAATGAAACCGCCAACCAGTAATCCATGGCCAATCTTAGAATATCTTGGATATATCATGATACATCCCAAAAATAATAGTTTACTTCGTGTGATCCCCACCATGACATTTATACACTTTCTTACTGGCAAATCTTCTGGCATTCTATCTGGCAAATCTTCTGACATTCTATCTGGCATATCTTCTGGCATTCTATCTGACATATCTTCTGGCATATGTTCTGGCATATCTTCTGGCATTCTATCTGGCAAATCTTCTGGCATTCTATCTGACATATCTTCTGGCATATGTTCTGGCATATCTTCTGGCAAATCTTCTGACATTCTATCTGGCATATCTTCTGGCATTCTATCTGACATATCTTCTGGCATTCTATCTGGCAAATCTTCTGGCATTCTATCTGGCATATCTTCTGGCATTCTATCTGACATATCTTCTGGCATTCTATCTGGCAAATCTTCTGGCATTCTATCTGGCATATTATCTGGCATATCTTCTGGAAAATTATCTGGCATTCTATCTGGCATTCTATCTGGCATATCTTCTGGCATATTATCTGGCAAATCTTCTGGGATTCTATCTGGCATATTTTGTGGCATTCTATCTGACATTTTATCTGGCATTCTATTTGGCATACCTTGTGGCATTCTATCTGGCATTCTATCTGACACATCTTCTGGCATATCTTCTGGCATATCTAGTTTGCAAGTAATATATAACATACTTGTCTGACATTCTTTCTAACTTTCTTCTGCACATTCTTTGTCCCATATCTTCCTACATGAGGTCCGGCAGGGAACACTTGGCGTGGATACTCGCGGTTGAGGTCCGGCAGGTAACACTGGGCGTGGATGGTCGTGGTTGAGGTCCGGCAGGGAACCCTGGGCGGGGATGGTCATGGTTGAGGTCCGGCAGGGAACACTGGGCGTGGATGGTCGTGGTTGAGGTCCGGCAGGGAACACTGGGCGGGGATGGTCGTGGTTGAGGTCCGGCAGGGAACACTGGGCGTCGAGAGTCGTGGTTGAGGTCCGGCAGGGAGCAGGAGGAGAGGAGCAGGAGGAGAGGAGACGAGGAGAGGAGACGAGGAGAGGAGACGAGGAGAGGAGGAGGAGGGAGGAGGAGGAGGAGCAAGCAACTGACATAAAATCTAACAACCCTCACCTGGCAGGTGGGGAAAAAAAAAAGCTCCTACTAGTCGATTTTCCAATGTTTTTTCCCTCCTCCCATGGTGAATCATTAATATCCCCAGAATTCAAGGTTTCCAAACATGGTGGTACCCCCAAATCATCCTTAAGTCATGGGGTTTTTGGTGACCCTGAAAGAAAACCCCCATCTTTCGCTGGGTCAATGGGCACCCGTTTGGTTTTTCTCCTGAGAGATCTCGATCAAGGCAGCGAGGAGTTTCTTGGCGATCGCCCTCATCATGTCCTGCGACCCCATCGATGATCACCATGACTTTCCATCGAGGTCAAAGGCTCACTTAGGACGACTTTTTCACTCACTTGGGACGACATTTTTAGATGTGGACTTCAACCTTCAAGGCTAATTCCATTGGATACAGACCTTTAGGCTAACACTTGGGGACACGGGGCTGGGACATCGGGGTGGGTTTAGGGGACCAGCATGGCGGATTACATTGGAGAACATGATATACAGACCTTTAGGTTAACACTTGGGGACACGGGGCTGGGCATGGGGTGGGTTTAGGGGACCAGCATGGTGGATTACATTAGAGAACATGATATACGGACCTTTAGGGTTTGACTTGGGGACACGGGGCTGGGCATGGGGTGGGTTTAGGGACTAGCATGGTGGATCCTGATGCGTTGTAACATATTCCTCAAGTCACTTTCAAGACGTTTCTGATACGTTGTAACATTACATTCATGTAACTTGCCAGATGTTCCTGATACGTTGTAACATCTTCGTCAGCATTTGATTCAATGACAATGTCCTGATGATCATCTCTAATACACATGTACAAGCCTCTTGAAATCATGTTCAAATACATCTTTCTATTGAGACTGTAGCCATATATCACCGACGTAGTCCTAAGCGAGAAAAAAACGTAGGCCTAAGCGAGGGACTGACCCTTCCATCGATGTTTCCCTTGACTTTCCCCTATTAAAACATGATAACACATTGCCATAAATTAGGGTACCATCTGGTTATTTAACATAGCCATGGAAAAATCCACCAACTAAATTAGGGTTTTTCTATGGGTTAATCGCATGTGAATCCCCCATTTTCAGAGCTGGGTTGGTGTCCTTGTTCGGATGTCTTTGGGGTCTTGCAGCAGTAACTGCAAAAATCCCATCCCTGGATTTGTTGCAATGGGAAACTCATCTACAGTAGAACAATCGGTTTGACCCAACATCATTGAAGCATAGATTGTACACAATGTGTAAACAGTATGTACTGTAATTGTGCTATTTTTCTCGGCAAATACGCACCGTGTACTCACAAAAAAATGCTGCTTAGATCTGACTATATCGCTTTCAAAATGTTTCAAAATTAATACATCAAAAATAAAACCATGCTCATCATCCGTCATTCCCAGTCATCCTCTGGGGTTGAAAATCAACATCTTCACCCGGCAAAACCCCGAATCCATTGGCATTGCCTGTAAGGGGGTTCTCGCGGTACATTTTTTTAGTTGGAATGCAATCCACAGAAAAAGGATTTGAATGGATTTGATAGGATTTGATTAGGGATATATTATCATTGGGAATCTATGAATGGGGTATAGCCGATGTATTTCAACGTTGGAGATCTTTCTGAGGTTGTGTGGTGACACAATCGGACATAATGGAATGGTTCCTCCAAAATCGATCAACAATGAGCGGTATTATAGGTCAAGCACATGATGACGGATATATTCAATATAACTAACTTGATAGCCAACACGTTATATAGAATATTCTGCACAAAACAAGGTGGTGCCCTAGAGCTAAATTTGTATGTAACTACCGTAGGTGGACGAAATATTCAAACCCTTTCTATCAAATACATCCCCTAACCCCCAAAGTTCAATGTTACTATGAGCTGAAGTGCATTAGCTCCAATGGAGGAAATAATCAAACCCCTTACATCAATTTTGGTAACAAGCGCGCTGAAATATTGAGATTTGGGGTCGAGGGTTTCAAGACAGAGTTTATTGCAGGTTTTGGATATTTTGTCCACCTACTGTAGAATATCCAGAACTTATGGTGATTATAACTCTTAGATCCTCTTAATGGTTGATAAACAAATCTAAGCAATGTTTAAGCAACATATTTACAAGGGCAACCACCTTCAGTAATATTAGTGGTATCATTTTTAAACAGCTCGCCTTGAACCATCCCAGGGCCGGGCCTGCTTTTGAATGATATAGATCTCAGCTGTGCATTCCTGGTTGCACCCAGAGGAACCAGTTCGCTATCCCCGACTGCCTGCAATATCCTTGAATACCTCTAAGCCTCTAACCAATTTTTCAACGGTCCTTGCCATACTTCACAAGTCACGGCAGGGAAGTACCCGTCGGAATCAACCACTGCAGATCATCCATGAACTGTAGCATTTCGACTCGGGGAATGGAACGATAAAATAAACATAACTAGCAAATGGATCTAACATTGGAGCACGTTCCCTCAGGAGCATGTCTCCTAGATTTTCTTGTTTAAGGGTTATATTGGAATTACTTCGAGACGATATTGGTTTAGTATTACTTAGCCGAAAAATGCCGAGAATGTTTAAATGCAAATGAAATTTGAAATCAACAGTTGTTAGGTTATATACACAATAAACATGAATAAACATGAATAATGTATAATGCAGTTCAACTTCCCCGAGCTAAGCATGAACCAACATGTTTTTTTTTCCGGAGGCGGCCGCTCAAGTAACTTCGCCCAGCTTCCGCCACCAGACTGAAGGGCCATGTGGCTTCCTCGGCCAACTCCCAGCAGCCGTAGAGGCTGAAGGCCGGAAGCGATCCATGGTGCAGCAGCTTCAGGCCTCACCAACCCGACTCGGGACCCTAAACTCACGGAAAAAATCGGAGAATGGCGATTTTTCTATGGGAAAATCATAGGAAACAACGATAAATGGAGGTCTTAATGGGAAAAATCGTGGATTTTTAAGCACATCGGGAAAATCCTAGGAGAATGGCGACTTTTCTATGGGAAAATCAGGGGAAATCATAGGGAACATGGGGAAAATCAGAGGACTGTCATTGAACTATTTGGGGATGCAATCCAGATAATATCGGATATAATAACTAATCATAACTAATCAACGACTGCGCGGGGAACTCGGCCTGCTATTTCTTGCCCGGCCGGCCGGCCAGTCTGTGTTGATTCCGGCCGGCCGGCCGGCTAGGCGTGTGTATGAGCTACGTCCGGCCGGCCGGCCGGCTGGATACCTTTGCATTGGCGTAGTTTTTTGGCCGGCCGGCCGGCCGGCTGACGGCTGGCTGTACCTCCAATTGGCTAAGGTTTTGGCCGGCCGGCCGGCTGGCTGCTTGGCTAGTTGGCTGGCTGGCACGCTGGCTCGGCTGGTGGGCCTAGCTACTTGGTTCCGGATATTAGTTAAAGTAAGCGCTAAATAGAATGTAAAGGACATGTTAAAATTCTGTAAGCTTTAAGAAATCTCAAATGAAATATGCGATAGTATGACCGCATAAATGTTATGATAGCATATATGTTAGATAGAATGTTGAAAAATGGTAGACAGAGTAGTTGATAAAACTGGAATATGCGTTAGAGGAAACGTGTTAGTGTTAGATAGAATGTTAGATTGAAGGTCGGAATTTATTTGGCAGCCAGAATGTAAAAACATTCTTCCCCAGACAGTGTGTCTACACTGAGGGGTTCTGACGGTAGATGCGAAGGTTGGTGCTTGATCAGGGTGGCCACTCTCTTCTGCGGCCTGTTACCTGCAAATTTTCGTATAAAGCGCCGCATATAAAATCTTGACATGCGTTTCGACTGCGCAGGCTCGCGCGCGTTTCGATTCAGCAGCCTTGCAAAAAGTGTGGTCCGCGGGTTTGGTCTTTGATTTCATTCATTGCAGTCATTTCATTCATTTCATTCATGCCATTCATTTCGTTCATTTCGTTCATTTCATTACTTTTATTCGCTTCATTCGTTTCATTCATTTCGTGCATTTCAGTCATTTCATTCATATCCTTCATTTCATTCAATTCAGTCATGCAATTCGTTTCATTCCTTTCATTCGTTTCAATCATTTCATTCATGTCATTCATGCCATGCATTTCATTCATGTCATTCGTTTCATTCATGACATTCACTTCCTTCGTTTCAGTCATTTCATTCATGTCGTTCATGTCATTCATTTTTTCCATGTCATTCGTTTCATTCGTTTCATTCATTTCATGTGTTTCATTCGTTTCAATCATTTCATTCATTTCATACGTTTCATTAGTTTCCTTCATTTCAATCATTTCGTTCCTTTCATTCATTTCATTCATGTCATTCGTTTTTCTTCGTTTCATTCATTTCATTCGTTTCAATCGTTTCATTCATTTGATTTCTTTCATTCGTTTCATTAATTTCATTCATTTCATTTTTTTTGCGTTTCATTCGTTTCATTCATTTCATGCGTTTCATTCCTTTCATTCATGTCGTTGATTCCGTTCAATTCATTCATTTCATTCGTTTCATTTGGTTCATTCGCTGCATTCATTTCATGTCATGTCATGTCTTTTTATTGCATTTCATGTCATTTGATACATTTCATCCATTTCGTTCATTTTATTCATTTCAATCGTTGCATTCATGTCATTGATTTCATTTCATTTGATTTCATTTCATTTCAGCCATTTCAATCATGTCAGTCATTTCGGTCATTGCAATCATTTCAATCATTTCATTCATTTCATTCATTTCATTCATTTCGTTCATGTCATTCATTTCGTCCATTTCATTGCTTATATCCACTTCATTCGTTTCATGAAGTTCATTCATTTCAATAATTGTTTCCGCTTCATTCATTTCATTTCATTCATTTTGTTCGGTTCATTCGCTTCATTAATTTCACTCATTTCATGCGTATCATTCATTTCATTCACTTCGTTCATTTCGTTCATTTCATTCGTTTCATTCCTTTCATTCGTTTCATTTGTTTCATTTGTTACATGCGTTTCATTGTTTTCAATCGCTTCTTTCATTCATTCATTTCATCCGTTTCATTCATTTCATTCATGTGTATCATTCCATTCATTTGACTCCTTTCATCGTTTCATTCATTTAATTCATTTGTTTCATTGCGTTCGTTTCATTCATTTCATTCGTTTCATTCATTTCATTTAGTTCACTGATTTCCTTCATTTCCTTCATGTCATTCGTCTCATTTCCTTCATTCTGTTCATTTGTTTCATTCATTTCGCTCATTTTAGTCATTTCATGTCTTTCATTTCTTTCATTCACTTCATCATGTCGTTCATTTCATTCATTTCATTCGTTTCATTCATTTCATTCATTTGGTTCATTTCATTTGTTTCATTCGTTTCATGCACTTCATTCATTTCATTCATGTCGTTCGTTTCATTCCTTTCAATCGTTTCATTCCTTTCATTCATTTCATTCATTTCGTTCATTTCGTTCATTTGATTCATTTCATTTCATTTCGTTTGGTTTCATTTCATTTCGGCCATTTCAGTCATTTCAGTCATTTCAATCATTTCATTCATTTCGTTCATTTCATTCATGTCATTCATTTGATTCATTTCATTCATTTCATGGCTTTTATTCGCTTCATTTGTTTCATCCATTTCATTCACTGGAATGATTATTTCGCTTCATGCATTTCATTTCATTCATTTTATTTGGTTCATTCGTTTCATTCCTCTCACTCATTTCACGCGTTTCATGAATTTCATTCATATCGTTCATTTCGTTCATTTCATGAGATTCATTCGTTTCATACGTTTCATCTATTTCTTTCATGTCATTCATTTCATTCATTTTTTTCATTCCATTCATTTCACTCATTTCATTGTCTCATTCATTTCATTCATTTGTTTCGTTTCATTCGTTTTATTCATTTCATTCGCTTCATTCATTTCATTCATTTCCTTCATGTCATTCGTTTCATTCGTTTCATTTCGTTCATGTGTTTCATTCCACTCACTTCGGTCATTTGATTTCTTCCATTCATTTCATCATTTCGTTCATTTCATGGATTTCATTCGTTTATTCATTTCATTCATTTGGTTCATTTCATTTGCTTCATTCTTTTCATGCATTTCATTCATTTCATTCATGTCATTCGTTTCATTCCCTTCATTTGTTTCATTCATTTCGCTCATTTTAGTCATTTCATTTCCTTCATTCATGTCATCATTTCGTTCATTACATTCGTTTCATTCATGTCATTCATTTGTTTTATTTCTACGGTTCATTCGTTTCATCCGTTTCATGCATTTCATTCATTTCATTCACATCATTCGTTTCATTCCCTTCATTTGTTTCATTCATTTTACTCATTTCAGTCATTTCAATCCTTTCGTTAATTTCATTCATTTCGTTCATTTCATTCATTTCTTTCAATTTTATTTGTTTCGTTCGCTTCATTCGTTTCATTCGTTTCATTCATTTCATTTCTTCATGCGTTCCAGTCATTTCATTCGTTTCATTCATTTCATGCATTTCATTCCTTTCATTCATTTCATTCGTTTCAGTCTTTTCAGCTATTTCATTCCTTGCGTTCCTTTTATTCATTTCATTCATTTCATGTATTTGGTTCATTTCTTTCAATTCATTCAATTCAGTCATTTCAATCATTTCATTCCTTTCGTTCATTTCGTTCATTCCATGCATTTCTTTTGTCGCGTTCGCTTCATTCGTTTCATTCATGTCATTCGCTTCATTCATTTGGTTCTTTTCATGTGTTTCATTCGCTCCATTCGTTTCATTCATTTTCATTCCTTTCATTCGTTTCAGTCATTTCATTCCTTTCAATCATGTCATTCCTTTCGTTCCTTTCATTCATTTCATTTCTTGGTTTCGTTTCATTCGTTAGATTCGTTTCATTTGTTTCATTCGTTTCATTCAATGAACTTCTTTCATTCGTTTTCATTCGTTTCAGTCATTTCATCTGTTTCATTCATTGCATTCATGTCAGTCGTTTCTTTCATTGCATTCATTCATTTCATTCGCCGGGCTTGGTTTCTGGCCCGCCGGCCGGCCGGCCGACCGGCTGGCTGCCACGCTGGCTGGCTGGCTGTCGCTTGGCTTCAGCTGGCGCCACGGTGGCTAGCTGGTTCTTGGTTTGTGGCGTCCGGCCAGCCGGCCAGCTGGGGCTTGGTTTGTGGCCGGCCGGCCGGCTTTGTTTGTGGCCGGCCGGCCGGCCAGCTGGTGCTTGGTTTTTGGCCCGCCGGCCGGCCGGCCGGCCGGCTGGCTGGCTGGGTGTGAAATAGCGGGCCGCACTAAGCTCGCAATCTAATGAACAATCAAACATGGTGACTGGCCAATGAGGATATTGTGGTTGTCTCTGAACATGGGTTGAAAAACACAGGATGTGAACTGGCAATGTTCTATTAGGAACATTAGGTTTGTCATTTTTTCAGATAAAGCCATATTAAGCCACATGATTTTGGATCAATTTGGCCAGGAACCAATTGCGGAAAAACAAGTGGAAAAGGCGCCTAACCTGAAAGAAATTGTAACCAGCCCCAATATGCCAACCAGTTGTTATATAAAAGGGATAAATCCTATAGAGGTACGGAGAACACCTGGGTCCAACTACGTGCAGGCTTCGATTTTGAGGACCGGCACTTTGGCCCCACATCTGGAGTTTCGTTGGTTTCATAACCATCGTTCCTGCAATTTTGAACATGGAACAAAATGGAATCCCCTATGTTTGGCTAAAACCGAGCCCATATCCAATCTCCACGTTGCCAAAAAACACACTGTTTTGCTTCATTTTTGGTCACTGATTTCTTAATGCTTAAATTATATTAAATCAATTTAAATCATATCATGTGGGGAACCACCTACTGATCCTACTGTAGCTCCAACCACCACTGGATAGTCACCATGCCTGGCGGGCTCCGACTACCCGAGACGTCCTAAAGCGACATCCCAACTTTTCACCGGCAACTGGGGAAATCATGGGAAAATAGGAGAAAATCATCTAGAAATGGAGGTTTTTTTCGCTGGGAAAGTCATACCGAACTGCTGGATGTGTCCTCGCCATGTCTGAGTGCCCAAGAGAAACCATTGCTGAAGGTTTTTGGAAACCAATTCATGATTGCATTGGTGGTTTCAACCTCCTTGAGAAGCCGTGAAAATGACCCACTGTTACTGAAATCTCAGGAACTATCATTCTAGTGCTGTCGCAGCGAGGTCATTACAATTTGTTCAACGAAATCAAATCTCCCAAAGATTTAGCACCGCCTAGAACGGGGTTTCTAAGGGGGATAGTTAATGTTAGGGGGGAAGGGATTATATATTCATGACTAGTTTAAGTTTCATGCTTTGGAAACAGGAATATGTTTTTCCTTAAATTTCCAATTCGTATTAGTTGCTTTAGGGACCAACAATTTGTTGTTCCCACCGCACAATTCACACAAACCCAAAACGGGCCTTAAATTCCAAATTGTCGTCGCTTACATCCCCAGAAATCGAATCAAATGTGTCAATTCACCCCAAAAATTGGCTACCCCAAAAATTTTGTGGTGGAAAAATGTGTCCAACGTTCAACCCATATTTTGTTTGGTCAAACCCTCTCAATGTCCTTCACCAACCCCCATCATTCACCCAAAGGTGGATTCATCCCATGGTTTCCAGGCTTCAAAACAGGCAAGATTTGAGTCACCACGACCCAAGGACGCAAAATTTTTCATCATGATTGGTATTCAGCAATTTGTTAGACCATATAAAATCATATAAAGTCCATATGTTCATTATACCCACTTACAGTAAACAATGGGGTATCATATAAAACAATATATAAGTTTATTATGATCATAATGTTAGTAAAACAATTGGATCCAATGTTGGATCATATAAAATTGGGGTGGATCCAACATTGTTTTGCGATCACATTATGATCCAACACACTCCACCAACGTTTCCGCCCCGCCCAAGGCTCCGTAGCAGCCGTAGCTCTGCTAGGCGAGACAGTTGCACGACTGGTTCCACTGGGTAGCTTGGAGCTGTTGGGAGAGGGCTCCTTAGATTTGACAAATCAAAATGGGAAGTGGTCCAAGAGAAATTGGGGGGAAGTCTCCATTCAAAATTCGGACTTCAACCAAAATTATAGGATGATTAGGATTCAACCCGCACAAATTCGGACTTCACCAGCAAAAATAGAGGCCTTGCCTTGATCAACAAAAACCGTGGACTCAACGAACAGTCATTGTAATTGTCCCACTGTAAGGTTGGATTTAGTCAACAATCATCAACAATAGACAATTATCTATCTATCTATCTATCTATCTATCTATGTATCTATCTGTCTATCTATCTATCTATCTATGTATCTATCTGTCTGTCTGTCTGTCTGTCTGTCTATCTGTCTATCTATCTATCTATCTAACATTATCTATATATATATATCTCTCTCTATATGATACCCTGGCATCATCCATTTCCTCACAAATCAACCGTTCCCATCTGCAACCAGGCTCTGTGCGGTCTCGATCAACCTCGACAGCGTGCAACTTCATGAGGAAACCCGACCGCACCAAAACCTTGGCGAAAATCGACGATCGATGATGGGCTTCCAGTCGACAGTGATGGGCCAGCGAAATCCGAATCACCAGTTGATAGATGGTAAACATCCCGTGATTATTCTTATTATTATTATCATTATTATTTATAGGGTTTCAACATCCCAGCTGGTGCAGGATTTCGCAACCACCCACAGTATGTCATTGATCATTGATAGGTTCAAATCACTTTCTAAATTCCACATTGAGAAAGATTAATCCCAATAAATACCATATATGGGAAAATTGAAGGTTTATCTTATCTATCAAAAATTGGGCTTATACATGCTTATGATAGATAGATAGATAGATAGATAGATAGATAGATAGATAGATAGATAGATGGATAGATGGATAGATGGATAGATGGATAGATGGATAGATGGATAGATGGATAGATGGATAGATAGATGGATGGATGGATGGATGGATGGATGGATAGATATAATCCTAGATAAGTTCTATCCAAATGGGGGCGAACAAAACCTCGATTTAAGTCTTGTTGGTTTATCACAAGGCAGACAAAAAGAAAGTCAATGGCTTCAATGTTTACCTACCACCTATCACGTGACCGGGTCAGTGGGTGCTCCATAGAGATACCCTCTGGTAAACTAACAGTTTGCTATAGAAAATGGCCATAGAAATAGTTGATTTACCTATAAAAATAGTGATTTTCCATAGCTATGTTAGTTTCCCAGAGGGTAATTAAATGATGGTACATAAATGCAGGAAAGAAACATACATAGGTGCATAAATGCATGATGGTACATTAAATGATGGTACATAAATGCATGATTTGGACACAGGACTCCCCAAAATGTGTGCATAAAACAACCGAATGGTGGAGTACTGGGAACACCGCGAAAAAGAAGGACTTACGATCACCATCCCTTTTTCCACTGAAATCGAATGGTTTAAGTTAGGTCTATCACTATCAACATCCATGAACATCCGAATATAGGAAAATCCGAATATTGGGTGAAAATAACTTCATATATCAATTGATGCTGAGTGTGTTGGTGATTATGATTGATATATATTTTTTTTAACCATGTGTCGAACATTGGGCAAAAAACATCAGAAGGCTCAATTGGTCTGCCAAGGGGCCATAAATTCCACCGCTTCGCCCTGCTTGCACAGCCTCAAACGGATGCTTCACCAACAAGGCTGTTTCAATGGATTGGTTAAACAATGTTAAGAAACCACAAAGTGAACTTACCCAGAAAATTTGAAAGGCTTTTGCTGCAGATTTTCCCTTAAGCCAACTCCGGGAATGTAAAAAAGGAGGATTTGAATCGAGCTAATACGATTAACCAGCAACAATAGGGTTTTCATGGGATTTCATGGGATTTCATGGGGATACCAATGATCAACATTGAAAACGTACGGGAAACTCTGGGTCTTTAACCGCAAATAACTGCAAAAAAAAAGGATTTCAGATCGTTTTTCCCCATGGTCCCCTCCTGGGACTTCATGGAACAACTGTACCAACGGCTTTAGCCAACGGGCATTCCGCAGAGCATGGGGACCATGTAATACACATGGGAGACCAACCAAAAATTTCACTACTAGGGATGCTAATAATTACATGTTATATCATATTTTATTGATTTTTTATGGCGTATAATAAGGCCCTATGTGGCTATGTTAGCCTTAAATGTTGAACAAATCTGTGCTCCTTGGCTGGGATTGGTAGGGTCATCCCGTAGGAAGACCACAACTCCCGCGAAAATCCTATGAATTTCCATGTTGAATCCAGTAATCCACAACTTACCATGGAATCTTCAGCGAAACCCAACAAGAAAACAGTCCGAGTCCAAATGAATGAATGCTTATCCCATTAACCCATCATTTTCCTGGTGAAGATGCCATTTTTCATCATTTTTCCCATGGTTTAACGGTGCCAACAAAACCAAAAACGTCCCAAGGGGCAAATCTTGCCCGCGCAAGGACTTCTCCCGCAGACACTGCGCCATGACCTTGACTTCCTCCACCAAAATGTGTCATGGGTCAAGTTACATGGCAGTGCCAAAGGATGCATTAAATATCATTAAATAGGAAATTTAAACAACAAGAAAATGGTGCATATATATAAATATATTATATATTATATTATATATTGTATGTACTTGTAATGAAGATATAGCTAAGTTATTACGATCAAGAGCTTATGGTCGTCCATCTCATAATGGAAATCTTTTATGATACCTTATGATGGATACAATATATATATATACCTACATATCCTTTTACCTTCTTTTTCTTGGGTTGCCCAAAAAAACACTGGTTTTTTAGAAATACCCGGTTCCTGGTTTTCACATGTTTGGACTGCATGATCTCCATGTAGATAAACCATCCATATTTCCCTCACAACCCACACAGCAACCTTAAAACAACACAAAATCAACACAGGCAATCAAACATCACCAGCATAAACACTCACAATCAATGCTCAGATCCAAAGGATAATCCACATGTACCAGCCCATTCAAAGAGAACACAGCACAACCCTTTTCTAGGACAGAAGGCCGCTCCGTACAAATGCTGTATGTGCAGCCACAAGGTACCTCTCTAGAGTTCGCAAGGACACCTTGCGAATGTTGACGCGCCTCGACAACCTCGAGGCACGTCCTACCTCGTCCTCATCCATTTGACACCCCCACATTGTGGGGTTAATTGCAGATTTAACTGCAAGCCCCGATCTTTGCACCTGAAGGACCAGGTGGTGAAATACATGAAGCTTAGGATACAACGGAAACAACCATTGTCGATCCTGCCGAAACATTCTAAGTGCCATGTCTGCGTAGCAAACCAAAAACTGTTGGCCCTGTTCAGCAACAAAGGCACACTCCTCTTCCCCAAGAAATGCACCAGCCCTGTACAATGTACTGAACATACTGTTCACCCTGCGAGTTGCTGTACAACATTTCATCAACAGCCCATCTGGATCACGAGGTCCAGAGCTCAATAAATCGACAAGCCAAGCACTGAAATTTGTCGTTAGAGCGCCTTTACTCCAATTGCCCAATGTACCTGTGGCATCCCCATAGCTCATGAGGTACGGAGTGATACGCGTCACATGACTTTGCCGCCGGTTCGATCTACACCAGTTGATGTAATGATCGCTCAAGTAGGCCCACTTTTCATCCAAGTTTGGAAGAGGCAGGTAAGGCAGCAGAACCTGAATCACACTGCACACCCAGGAACGACCAAATCCCAAGTGGTATATGTGCCAGATGTCCGACTTGAAAAAGGCCGCAGGATCTGAACGATCATGTACCAAGTGTTGGATGAGGGCCGGAGTTCTGACCCAAGGAAGTTTCACCGCCACTGAGCGAAGCCAACGGGGGTTGTCAGTCCCAATCTCTTCAGCAGCACAAGCATTAGTACCAGCAAGACAATACGGACAGCAGCCTTTTGGTGGACCACGTTCATCGCCCCTCTTAACTGCAGTATTGTAGCTCCGGTAGAAATGTGCAACTTTTTGAAGATATGGAGCATCACCCTTGACTCCCAAAATCACAACTCTGTAGAGCTCATTGCCCCGGGCTTTGTCAACATACCCATGTTCAAGCAGTTTGCTACATGACCTGGCCACATGGTCAATAGCTTTGTGAAATGCCTCTGGATGGGTTTCGTATGCAGTCTTCGGGATAGTACTCAAAATGTACCTTGAAGTGAAAGAATGGCCAGCAAAATTGACCTGCAGCTTGTCATTTTCTTTCCTGACTCGTTTCTCATCGTAGCCACGACCCAAACAGCTCTGCAAACTTGTAATCATTATTCCATTCTTCTTTAAGGTTCTTCCCTCGTCACCGTGTATCAGCATTGCAGCGGTTTTGGAATAGTCTATCCCATCCATATGAAACAAGTCAAAACTTGGGTCAATCTTCTTGTAAGCCTCCCAGAAGCGAGACCAATTGTGATCAGCCCCAGCGTAGTCATGACGTTCACATCCCGCTAGCAACGGCCACAACCCATTGTCCACCAAGTAGACCAACCAGGATTCAGGAGAGATCCAAGGTAGAGGAATCCCATCACACTGTATTGTTTTCACAGGTATGTCCAGAATAGATTTCTGTTTCTTGATGACTTGGTGACTATCTCTTTCTGGGTGTATTTCACTAGCTCTGGCCCATTTCAATACACCCTTGCGAGCAGCTTCTTCCTCACCAAAATCCTGAACAACCGCCTTTGCAGTTCGGATCTGACTCAAGCAGCTGGCCTCAGCAATCAAAGCAGAAGCCAGATAAACATAAAACCCCACACCAACCAATGTGCAAGACAAATGAGTCGTAGGTTTGCTTGACACGAACTTCACACAGAATGCATTGTGACATTGAAAAACTAGCTATCTAATTGCAATGCCGCAAAAGAAAGATTTTGACTCGACATGCCAAGGCTGCCAGCACTAAGTGGCACTGCATCACAGCAACATTTCTGTGATGCTTGAATTTGTTTTCTAATTTCAAAAGCTTTCCAACGAAATGTCAGTGAAACTCCCACAGCAACCCCATGACCTTTCAGGTGCTAGGTTCTGGCTGTACTTCGGACTTGCGCACTAGGTCGCCTGTATGATTTATATACCAGGTATGCTAGGTATGGACCACTATCTACATTCCTCATGGTTTCACCTCCGCTTCGCTCGTTCTTGCACCCCTTCCAACCTTAGATTCAACACGGCCAGTGGGCTTTGGGCTATATACAGTAAGCAAAGTAAATCAAAGCAAACAACGTTGCACAACAATGATCTCACTAACCATGGATGAGATAGAAACACTGCAATCTTCAAGAAGTAGCATGTAGGCTGAAACAAAGTGCAACCGGGAAACTTTGAAACCTGTCAATCAATGCAGCTTCAAGGAAAGCTGGTCCATGTGGATTGGAAGCCCCATAGATGATTACCATGTAATCAAACCGGTCCTTCGAGCATTTGTCATAGTACTGCCACCTCACAGCAGCATCCATAGTGATACCAAATTTGAAAGTCATCGGATGGTTTCGATCATGCAATTTAGTGAACACTTGAGCAGCATGCTCTAGAACTCGACCAGCAGTCACCCCTGGTTTTGGGAGCTGCAAGCTAAGAGCAGGGTTCCCCTCAATCTTTCGGAACACATCCAACGATCTGGGGAGATGTTTGAGCTCATCGTGTAGCAAGAAAAGATCTTTCCAAACTGGAAGGTGGTTCAATACATAGCCCCTAGTTTTTTTTCAGGATGATGTTCTTCTTCCTCCAAGGGCAAAGATTGTAAGTTGACAGGAGGAGGAGTGGCACTGGATCTCACACGTTTCACTGGTCTGGCCCATTCCCAAGCGTAGGGTCCCATTGAAGCCTCAGGAACCCGTGTAAGGAGTGATGCATGGATATACCATGATATACATCCATTCTGTCAATTTCACCAGAGAAAATCAGGCTCAAAACTAGTGTGTGTTGGTCAAGAGGCTGGTCGGTGGCAGCTCAATAGTTCAATAAGCTCTTCATCCACAGGATCCATGGCACAGGTTTCAGAATACAGTAGATGTTGAAAAATTGTTGTATTTTGACACCTTTTACATGCAGCTGAAAATCTGAAGAAAACCATCTAGCTTCGACTTCGATTGGTTCACAAATTGTTCGCCCAGATTTCAAATCCAAATTTTATGTGTGTGCATTGTCTATCTGTTTTCAAAAATGTGAGTACTTCCCATGATTCCCATGGCATTCATTGGAGCCATTCTTGCAATCAATTGGAGACAAACAAGGTGTTACAGAGCAGCAGCAAGTAGCAAACTGAAGGCTCACTGATTAGCTGAGTCATTAGCTCCCTCGCCAATGTTGGTCGCAAACTGCTTTGCGCTTTTGCCAGCACGACCTGGCAGAGGAGGACATAATGCCCCAACATGGTGGATCATGGTGGGAAGGATGGGAGGTGGCAGAGTCATAGTGAATTGGGAAAGGCCACATCAAGGAAGTACATTCCCTAGTTTAAATATTCTCACAGGAGAACCTATATGTAATACTATATAATAAGTTTGATCTGTAGACACCCCACAGGGAGTTTTGCTGATGTTCGAAAGTACACCGGTTGCATTCTTTTAACCCACTGCAAAGGTTTGACATTCTGGTGCATCCCAGCCATGAGACCTAAAGCCTCGACATGGCACTGCAGACTGCATGAAGAAAGAGAGTTGGCTCCGAGATGAAACAACAAAAGATAATGAGTCATGAGTACATGATATATAATATCATCATTGTACGCCGGTTTGTTGATTGCCATTTTTGCTTCAAGAGTGCCATCGTGAAACTCGATTGCGTCCATTTAACACAATCCATCGCTCCAGAAATGACTCGTTCAGTTGTGCAGAAATTTGGAAACAGCATAGCAGCGTCTTTCCCAGAGACGCTCAAAAGCTAAAGCAACACGAGGCTCATTCAGTCTAGGACTCCTCCTTCGCGACCTGGACCTTCTGGAAATGCTTTTTTGCAGTCCTGCAACAGGGCGCACATAGGTAACTCAGGGTATTCTAACAAATAATGCAAACACTTGCCAACTCTGGTTGCCAACTGCTTCCAGGACTTGTGACGATTTACTGCAGTATCGCTTGGCAATCGTGCTGAGGCTCTTACCGAATCTCGGCTTCATTCTGGGCCACCTTTGTGCACCTAGCCAGTGACCAAAATAAATATAGACTATATTGTGTGCGTTACTATGAGCTACAGACAACTGCCACGAAGGTTAAGGCATGTCAAGGCACACAAAGGTCGAGGCTTTCATGATCTCATCAGCTTTCGAAGACCACCTTATGATCGCAAAATTGTGTTTGTTGTCTCATGTCTTCAACTTTGGGGTGGCTTGAAAATCATTTTCATTGTCACGAACTTTTTCAGTCTGGGTACAACTGATTGTGGCTATCCCTTTCACCCTGGGCCACGTGATCAGACAGCTTGTTGTACTCCTGGTCCAGGATAGCGAGATCGGAGTTCAGCTGGACAATGGCCCTGAGACGAGCAGCTTCCAAGGCTGGGCAGAGAACCCCAAAAGATGCTTTCATATACATCATAAAATTTCATATTTCCAATTGATATGAGAAGCTTTTTGGCCATAACATCGTCAGGATAATTTTTTTGAAGTTCAGTAATCAAACTGCGAAGCTTGCCACTCTTTGCCAGCACTGATTCGACATATTTGCCGAAGACATCCTTTGCCCGGGCTGCCTGCCAAATGGGTTGATCTAGATGAGTGCTGATTTGTGCATACAAAACACTAAAAGTGTATGTGCGCACTGAACATCGTTACACGTTCAAGAAATATATGTCTTTGTTGGAGAATGGACCAAAGTTTCAGACTTGAATATATACTTGAGCCAAAGCAAACAAATAACATCTTGATATTTAAATACCTTAGTTCACACACTGAGTTGAGGTTTGCTCACAAGCAAGTAAGGAATAAGTATCTTGCCTGGCTGGTTTCAGCGACAGCTGCAGAAGCCATAGCCTGTGTACGCAGTTGATTGGCTGTCAACCTGCCAACATCAACACCCCTCAGGGTAGCTGGTCCATTTTCCTGCAAGGCGCAATGGTCGTGGAAGATGTTCGATGTGAAGGGTGCAAAGGTCTTTGCTACGGAAGAAACTTGAAGCAAAATCTAAAGGGGGTGTGTCCTGGGTTCGCTCCACACTGCTTTCAGTGTCCACCTTCTCCTGTTGGAAGTTGCCAGTCTCGCGCACTTCCACATAGTACTCATCTTCGCCTCCGTACTTGCAATGCCTCATGGGCACCAGGATGTCTAAGCTGTTTATAGGACCCAGGAAGATCACTTGTGTCCTAGCGGGTTGTCACTTGAAACCATCGAAGGCATAAAACACAGTGTCACAGTATATAGTAGTCATCTGTTCCTAACTGTCAATATCTTTCAATTGGGGAGTGATGGAACTGTGAGTTCAATTCATTGATTTACCTTGTTTCCAGCGGTCCATTTTGACTTGCTAGGGGCCGGATCAAGTGCTCTGGATCCGCTTCACAAGACTTGACTGCTCCGGTGATCTTCTTCCTTAGGGCATCCAAAATGGATAAAACATATCAGTCATTAAGATGTGGTGCAAATGATAAATAAATCCTATAATGAAATAGTGGTGGTTCCGCACAGCCAAAAGCCATCAATAAACAAATCAACTGGTTTCATCACTTGAATCATTTCAACAGTTTATGCAGAAGAGATTCGCATTCCATTTCAACACCTTTTGCATGTCTTCTTTTGAATACCACCCAACTGCCACATCACTCAACTCCTTCTTGCTCTTAGTGGAACTGAGCTTTTTGTACTTGATGAACTGGTCCTGTCAGGAAAGGATGGAAACGCCCGAGCTGGGAAAGATTGAGATTCCCAAAGCAATGACTTTGTGTGGACACTTGGCTGAAACAAGTTGGCTGGAAGAGTTCGCCTTGTCGAAGCCACACTTGGCATACTGTCGTGCAAGTTCAGCGTGATCACCATTTTTCCATTCATCATGGAGCCACTGGGGGACATTGCATCGACCATCCTTCTTCATTTCACATAGCCGACGCAATTTTGCTTTCAGTGCGTTTTCTTCCTTACTATAGCCACATGGTGTGGAGACCCCAAGTATGTAGAACCAGTATTATTCCATACATAAAAACCCTATATTCTATATTAAACATACATGGAGTGTATAAGGGATGTGTTTGAATCAGGTGTTTCTTGAAGGTATTGGGCCCAAAAAAAAGAACGCTGCATTCCCCCATCAATTGAATTTAGTCTCCAGCTTTGCCCGCTTCACCTTTTCCAACAGTTCATCCACAGATTCACCAGGGCTAGCCCCATCTTCTGAAGTGCCTGGGGTTTCCTTGGGAGTATGAATCTCACCATTGCCACCCTCTTGAGAGATCTGATCCACTGACCGTTTTTTGCCAGAAGCACCCTCACCAACATCCCCACCCAGGAGTTGCCGTGCCATTGCACTGTCGATGTCGCCATTCTGCAACATCTCGAGGACTCGCGAGCGAACCTTGCTGGACACTTGGTTTGAGAGTGGCTTGCACAGGGCCGGTTCCCCAGGTAAAGGTGAATTGACATAGTTTCAAAAACCATTGTTGGGAAATGTTGGGAATTTAGAATTTGAACCAAAGAAAATTTACAGGTAAATTGTATCTGTGTGAGCACAACACATCACTTCCGTTTGGTCACCCTATAGATCACATTGTTATCTTAAAACATAAATAGTCCAACTATTGTGACCAATACTGTACTTCTAGGATGAGGTTGGTGCAGCATGCCTGCGTGAATCCAGTGTTTTTGGAACATAATTGAATTTGGATGAATTCGGTCTAAAAATGTTGATGGATTTCCAATTCGAATCAAATGACTGGGTCTGCACAATTGCCCGCAGAGCTTGGTACAGTCGATGTAGGGGACACAGGCGAAACAGTATTTTTCAGGGCAGTGTCATCAGCAGGAACTTCTGCAGAAGTAGGCCCACTAGGGGGTGTACCACCCAAAGACAACGCCACCTGAGATTCTGATGCCGGTTGTGTGTCCTCCAAAGCCCACGGTGCACGCTGAGGAGTAGCCTCAGATAGGGAGCAGAAAAGATGAAGATGTAGTGTGGCCCATTAGATTCCATGAGGTGATGTGCATGCATGGAAACCACAACAACATTAGTTTGTGTCATAGGTCAAAGGTCCAAAAAATATATGTGGAATTCATAAGTTTCATAATTAAGCATCGTTATTGCTAGCATAAATACATGCAGAATTGATTTCAATATCACCATTGTGTCAAAACACCTTGTTCCACAATCCTACCATGTCCTACATTGCTACATGAATTCCATGCAAGAGCCAAACATATATCCCAATGCAGTCTAGTAACCTGCGTTTGCATGGCAGCGAGTGCATCCAAGGATTGAGCCTGGGCCCGCTTGCATCCAGTTTCTTGGAGAAAGGATGTGGGAACATGTGGGAACATATCTTGAAAAATCAGGAAGGGAAAATAGACCCAAGGTAGTCAACTTTGAGATACCATGTCCTGGCAGTGGGGACCCCACCACTGGTTATAAGAAACATCAAAACGGGGCCCTGGCTGCATCATCTTTGACAGAGATGTCCATTAACTGTCGCTCCATTTCCTGCATGATGATGGGGGTGGTGACACATACAATAGTTTCAATTTAAACTATACTATAATGCACAAACACTTTTTTTTCCATATATCTATAGTTTTCCTCAAGACTATCCCCCATTCTCAACACACATCATGGTCCTCCAGATCCTCCAAATTGTCAGGGAGACTTTGGGTAGCTGCATCCAACAAGACATGAGAAAGGCCACGGGCAATTTCACTGGTCGAATTTTGTCTCGACAACATTGTTTTGCAGGTATCGGAACGGGCAAAGGAATCCATACCCCTACTGAGAAGTTCAAAAACAGCCGAAATGCTTTCGAAAAGGGACATCAAGTTGATAACATATATCACTGCACTACTAGGATGCATGCGGTTCAATCTGATTCTTGTCCACAGAAATTCAATCATCAAACGCACTGTATAATGCATTTTTCCCCAAAGCGCCACAGGATCCCGTCGGATCGAAGCGGGATTTGTTTGGACACTGCTGTGAATTGAATAGAATGATCCATTAAGGATCTAAGTTCAGCTATCCCTCCCTTAGCTCCGAGAAGCCATAACCAAAATCCGAACAAAAGTGCTTCAAACGTTATAAATCATAATCAAAATTTGAGGTTAAAAATCATAGGTTTTTTTGAAAAATACCCATAATCAATTATGGGTAAATTACGCCAAATTATGGGTAAATTACGGCTAAATTACGGGTTACGAAATTACGGGTAAAAAACCTAGGTTTTTTAAACTTCCAATTACGGTGCCATTATGATCAGATTATGTTGATTACGAAAAATACATAGGTTTTTTTGGTCTAACATAGTAAATTACGCTTAAAAACATAGGTTTTTTTTAGTTTTGTTACGATATTTTTACGGATGATTACGCTACATTACGGATTACGCCAGATTATGGGTAAAAAACAGCAAAAACCAAATTTGTCCATCATAAAACGATGTTGGATCATGTTGAACCAATGTGGTTTGTAACTGGTGCCATTCAGCGAGGGAATCTTCGCAAAAGATTCGGAACTTGTTTAGAGCCTGCGAGGCAAAAGCTCCAAAAAGTCCTTTGGAATTCGTAAATGAACCCCAGCCCGAAGGTAATGGGCCACAGCCGTCATATGGGCTTCGGGCCACATGTCAGTAAATTCCATTTGTTGGAATGTGACCGAAGCTTTGGGAACAACTGGTGGGAGAGTAGGCATACCCTTTTTCTCAGAGGTGAGCTTGTCAAAGAGCTCGACCAATTTGCGCCCAAATTTGGACGGGTAATGCCTAAGCCAACGGCAGTCAGAAACCTAGCCAGTATGTGTATCAATATCTTCAAACCGTTTCAAAGTGGTGGGGTTCAACGCATTCTCTAGGATCCAGTCAGTGGTACCATACATTGTCAAACTTTTCCCAATGTTCATAGTGGAAACTACATAGGATAAACCCATAAGGATTTGCCACAGCGAATTTCCTCCTGCATTTGTTGCAATTCAATTGATGTATCAAGCTTATAGTTTATGACAAGTAAGGTCGTTACTCACTCGAGCGCAATCTCTTGGTTCCCTTCCACCTGGTTTTCCCTGCAGCATCCTTGTACTTCACGACAAGTTCATGGTGTTTACCTTCATCTTGGAGTTGTGCCTTTCGCTTGAGCCATTTTTTCATGTCGAACTTCCCAAGATTCAATCGGCCAATGTGGCGGGAATTTGCAAACCCATAGTGCCTCTTAGGAGTTGGGCCGCCGTAGTGGATCATATACCAGCAAACTTTGTGTACCTGAAGCGCGGCAGGGGATATGCAATGGTGATGTTGTTTTCATATGACCAGGTAGGCCCCAAATAGGCAACTAGGAAATTGGATGCCAAATGAATTTGATAAGCACATCTTTGTGTTTGACATCGCAATGATATACTCCTGTAGGGTCCAAATCCAAGTAACAATCATTAGACCAAATTACCAAATTCATTTATATAATCTTCATGCGTATAGCTCAGGCTTCTACGTGGTTTGCTGCAGCATCCGAGATATATTGTAACTTGGATTTTGGCACTGGTCAGTTTGGCTGGTTGAGGGTGGAAATCTGAACCAAAACTGCGATCCCCTACTCTTGTCAAGGGACTGCTGATGGCCCCCCATGATTCTGCAGTTTTTCAACCAGTTCTCGAAACCGAGGGTAGAACTCAAAGAAAGATGAATAGGGCTGTTCCAAAGCAATGCATGCATTGAGGCACACAGCCACCATCATAAGAAGTATCATCCTCAGAAAAGTGAATGTGCGCACAGTTTGCCAATTGTAACCAGCAACATACATGGACTATCAAAACATTGTTGGGGTCCCAAAAAAAGGGGTCTTGAAACAACAGCTATACAGGCTATACAATTTACATGTTACGAATGCATTCAAAGCTCCGACTTCCTAAGCAGTTCCCCTCCCTCACGCTGGCAAATTCGGTGTTACCCACCGATGAGCATGCACTACGGCTGCTCGTACCAGAGTTGACTGACGTCCAACTGCTGCATTTCAATGCAAAATGGGCAAGCCACCCATAATCCACATCACCCCTGAGTACCACCGAAAGAGCAGTCCTCAGCCGGGAATATGAAGCTAACATTGAAAAATCACCCAAAAAATAGGTCTGCATATTAACCAATATACATGGTAATCAATGAAGGTCAAATGTATTCAGAACCACGTGTCAGAATCAACATTATCAGTGGAAGATTGCACTGTAAGATATTCAGACTAGTTTCACAAACCCTGATGGTGTAGTTAGATCCATCGGGTTTTGGCGATCTTTTGCACCCTGCATGTACAACAGGTCCAATCGCGCTGCTCTCAAATTGGCGCATCGAAACTCCTTGGTGGCTGCAGCCTGTCCTGCAAAGAGCTCCACGAATTTGAAGGTGGAATGGTCCTGCTGGGAATGAATTGTCGAAGGGCTGAGAATCATGGGTTCGAATGGTTTGTACTAGGTCTTCAAATGCGCACGGTTTAGAAACATGCATCATAAATAATAACTACGATAAAAAATGAAAACAGGATTGGTCCTCCCAACTCGGACTGGGGACTTCTGTCCATAGTGTCAAGAGCACCACAAAGACCAGCACCTACGGGGTCATCAGCATAGTTAACTCCAATTGTGCACTTATATATGTGGAAGTCAGTGTGTGTGTGTAGAATTCTGATAACACACATGCTGAAGGGATCCAAATAAAGACATAGGTTGATAATAAATGATTTACCGCCAAACTTCTGGACATTGCACCTTTGGTGCCCCCAGCGCTTTCAAGCGCCAACACAAATCGTTGGTAAAGCTGGCTGACCACCCCATGGCAACAAGTCGGCTGAAGATGCAAAAATGCAAATGATCCAGTACACCAAAACATATCACATAGCATGATTATATTCCCTTCATGTGGATTTATTGTTCCTGTTTACACTTGGAAACCTAAAAATTCTGATGTGAGATGATGGTTTACATCCACAAGTCCCGATCCACAGCTGCAAGCTTGAGGCGAGCGTATCTCGACCGAGCAGACTTCTTTGACAGCGTACCAATGCTGCATCATGATTGCTGCGTCATTTTTGGAGCTCCAATGGAAGTAAAGTGGCCATGAAAGCATGCACTGACAACTGCGATTGAATCAGTTGCTGAAAGAGAACATCAAATGCATCATGTTCCTATTCTTCAGACACCAGTTTCGAGTCTTTAAGGGTTTTGTTTCACCTGGAGACCTGTGAGAAACCACGCAGGTGACCGTGAACAAAAATGTCAAACAACAAGCACATATAAAAGTCCAAACATGTCTGGCACACGGCTATCATCTTGGACTAGTCCCAGCTTGACTGCCCATTTGAGCCCCTTCAATTGAGGCATCAGCAGCCAAGTCGATCATCGTGCCTGGGCGCCGGTCGTTGGCAGAATCTTTGGCACATTCGACGCTGGTCAGATGTGGTAGGGAGAAAGGACAGGATGACAGGATCTTTACCATCAAAAAAGAAAGCAGAATTCAAAATACATTCCTTTACTTTATGGGGTTTGTGGGTGTCATGTAACGCTAGCATCAGAATTGCGATCATAACATGTCCATATTACCATTTACTTGGATGTTGTGAAAGCCCAGCAACGTGTTGTAATCCTCACCATGCACTAAACTTAAGACAAGTGTTCATTTTTTTCAGCTCACTTCTACAAGGATGTTGTGAGCAAAGAATGCATGGCCATGAAAACATGTGAGATTCTATTTTCCAATTGTTTCATGTCCAAGATGGTGCCAAAAGCTGACCATGAGGATTTCCCCATGCATAGCTGAGAAGCAGTGGCGCTGAAATTGCCATCTTCGGTCTGGCCATGCCCCAATGATTCCGGTGGGCCTTGTGACCCAAATCACCCAGTATTAGGTACAGGTAGGACGTATCAACATCAAACTCCATTGTTGGGATATAGTGGTTCAACCAAGTAGACCAGAGGTGTTTCAACACGAGTGCATGTAGTTACACTGAAATTTGGAATAAACATCATAAATCAAAATCATATTCTCTATAATTCAAGGATTTTTTTCACTGGGTTCATCTCAACAAATTGGGAATTTCGAAGTTCAACCCGGCATCCTACCTGTACCACCAGACTCAAAAGCTAAGGCAACAAAGCTCCCGTCAAACCTCTAAGCATTCCGACAGCAGGCAACTGACGCTGGCTTGCAATGGCTACCGTGGGTGATCCCTCAACACTTGTCCCGAGAATCTTAAATTATGGAAATGGAGTACGATGAAAGCATATATCAATAAAATATGGTTTCTTTTCAGATGAATTGCTCAAATAGTACAGTCTCAAGTAAGTCCAGTTTTGGAGGTATAATCCCAACAACATCGGAATAGACTTTATAAAGTGATTTCACTTCTTTCGGGGGACCTTGGTAGCAGCCACGCTGGCATTATATTTGATAAAGGCCTCATGCTGCTTCACTCGACTGGTGGGATCAGCGTAATCGGAAATGTCATCTTTGTTCAGATCGTCCATCCAAGAAGCCTCAGAAGACAAGGGGATGGACTGGGCTTTGTTTACTTTATACATGTAGGAATAAAAACTTGCCATTTCAAACTACCAAAGACAAATGATACCAGCTTTTGAAGCCCTCTCAACATGGACCAACTGCTCAACATGGTCCATTCTCCGTGACCCGATTTTCAGTGCTAAAATTTCATGGCAAAAAATACACCACGTGGCCATGATATGCCTCAACAAATTCGACATCACAAAGATTCCAACCAGGAAACAAGAAGATACGCACTGATGTAGCTCAGCACAATGCCGCAGTTCGATGAAGGGGCAGTGCCAAAACGCCCAATGTAGCAAACCTGAGGCAAGGTGGTCTCCGACGCAAGCTCCTTAGACTTCACGCCACAAGCTTCGCGCCCCCAATAGGGATCAAGCACAAACTTCTTGAGGTCTCTGGGAGCCACCCGAATTAAGTACTTCTTGAGCTCACCAATCTCCAAGCCATCCACAGCCTTCATGTGCTGCAAGAAGATTCCCTGGACGCGGGAATCTTCCACGAGCTGCTCCCTCATGGTGTTCTCCTCATCCTTCTTTCTGCGCTTGGCCTCTTTCTTGGTTGGGTTTCTTGGCAGGCTTGTCATCATGGGGGAGAGCCGTGGTGGAAGCAGCAGAAGGGTCAACTTTCTTTGGCCGGGTGCGTTTCCACTCCTCTGGCTTGTCAGTCTCATAGATCTGGGAAAGAGGCTTTGGCTCCCCAGACTTGGGGTCAATGCGCATATGCTCAGAATCCTGAGCTTCATCGTCGGACTCGAAGAGCTTCTTCTTTGGAGTATTGACCTCCTCTTCCTCCTCAAGTTTGGCTGCCTTTGCTTTTTTCTTTGATGCTCTCTTTGGTGCTCTCTTTGGTGCCTGCTTGGCCTCCATGCTCTTTTCTGCGATCTCATTCTGTACTTTGTCTCCCTCCTCCGGCTCCTTCTCCGCAGCAGCTGTTGCTTCCGCAGCGGCCTTGGCCTTGGGCCTGCCACGTGCCTTCGGTTTGGGCACAGGCTCACTTCCAGATGGCTCAGGAGCCTCAGACACAGGCTTTGCCTCCGATTTGGCCTTGGCCCTCGGAACTCTTTTCTTGGGTTCAGCCTTCACCGCAGCATCTCCATCAGGCTTCTCCACAGATGACCTTCGTTTCCTACTCCTAGCTGGTGGATCCTCCTTTGGTGGATCCTCGTTGTCCTCCTCACCTTTATCACAAGCTTTCCCTTTGGACTTGGCCTTTGCCTTAGCATTTGCTTTTCTCGCTTCCTTGGATTGCTTCCTCTCCTCTGCTGCCAGCTCCTTCTTCTTCAGCTGGTCTCGACGGGTCAGCACGGGCACACCGTCGGCCTGGCAGTTCAATGCATTTGCACAGACATAAGCAGAAAAGTCATTTGAGGACAGCACATATGTTTAGAAAAAGAATCTTCCGTCAAATTTGATTGAACATTGCATTTGAACAGGGCAATCAGGATGGCTGGTGGCAATCCTCACCAATCACTCTTGAAATCACACTATTTTGTTTGAAGCAAAACCATAAACAACATTTCCAGACGACATGAACCATACTGGAAACACTGAGGTATGTCAAAAAAACATGGAACCGCATCCAGGCCCTCAGACCTCATCAGGGTCAGATGGCAAATCTGTGTCCTCCATAGGCATCACCATGTTGAAAGCAGAAGAAGCTGCAGCTGCAATCTCAGCAGGATCAACCAAAGGCTGCGTCTCATCACGATCTCCAGCTACAGCAAGAGGAGCTGCTGGCAAAGGAACAAAGCCTGGCAAGGCAGACTTATCCAGCAACATGTGGGCTGCAATATTTTCTGAAACGTGCGATTGCAAGTTCTCACCTGCCGACCCAATAGTCTTATACTACGATACCTGCTTACACATCCATGAGGACCTGAAACCTACTGGTTTTTCTTTGACTAACTCGCTAGACATGGCATTGACAAATCAAAGGTGTGTTCATGTGTTCGCTAATTCATTTTGTTATGTCATGTGATTTCACGCTGTGGAGCCGCACAATATTAATGAAGCAGCATGAGGCCACTTTGCATGTAGAGCACTATTACACTATGGGTGAGACCCTACCCAACCCCTAAGCCAACCTTTTCGGGGAGGCGCTGATGCTTCTGCAGTGGGAGCAGGGGTCGGAGTCGCTGATGCTTCTTTCCTAAGCATCCCATGGGCTAGCAGTTCTCAAGTTCCGACATGTTATTTACCAAAAAAAGTCCACACAAACAATTTGATTGTTTTGCACTTTTTAACGACTTGCTAGAATGTAGGGATATGGAAAGTCAGCGTTTGTAGCCCCATCATTTCCAAGATGTTTCGGGTCCCATTTTGTACAAGACCTATCACTGCTGAATCCGGCAGCCGCCAAACTAAGAAGAGCATCATGGCTTGCTTCTTCTGGAGTTCGGCCTTCTTCTCCTGGATCACCTTCAGAAGTTCCCTGCGTCGCTGGGCAAGAAGTTCACCTGAGTTTCAGCCGAGGAACGGGTGGGAACTATGTGGGGTGACATAGAGGAGTATGAGGAATTTGACATTGTAATAGCAACACCCCAATAATACCCCAAAATTAAATACATATCATATAGGTCTGTAACCACTCATTGTGTACAATAAAATGTTTAAATTGATATACCAGGTGGCATCTGCATTCTGGGTAGCCACAATCTATGCATTTGCCATGGTCATCAAAAACCGGGGTGAATGCAGGCTTCTTCTCAACAGCTGCAACCTTTTGTGGGGTAGATGTAGTTGGCGTACCAGTAGCCTGTGCATCCAACCAACGCTGAAACTCTACAAACTCATCTCCGGCGGTTTGATCCGAGTCCATAGCATTGGCATCCTCATCATCATCAGAGTACAAACCAGCAGTGCGCTTGCAAGATGCCAAGTACGCATCAATGATTGCCTACAGGGTACTCAGATTCCAGATATGTTTGAAACCATATTATATTGAAATCATATGATATCAATAAAAATACCGATGGTTTTCATCAGACCCTGTCAAATAATGAACAAGATTGAACAAAGTGATTTTTTTGGGGGGAGACCAGGGTTATATCCCGTCCTGAATCGATGGGTCAAGGATCAGAAGCAACCTGTGAAACTCTTTGTCCTCCAGGGTTGCCATGGGGGAATAAGAGGAAGACACATATTGTTTACTAAATGTTATTAGTTAAACAACCCCAAATATTTCATAGATTGTCATCCTGGGACACGTCGATAAAAACAAGTGATATGTTTTTGAACCTGTATTTTAAGCACTGTTCCTTTGTGACCTCACGTCTGTTCAAACGCCTCTTGATGAAGCTGGCCAGTTGTTTGATCTCCATGGACACCTTGTAGACCTGTTTGTCTCCGGCTGTAGTCAAACCTGTTTTCTGGAAGAGGCTTCCTACCTCTAGTTTCAGGTCTGATATGTGAGGCAAAACAAGACCTGACTGATTCAGTCGTCTCAGCACAGGAGCCAAGACAACTGCATTCATGTTGGCGTTGTGACGTGTCGGTTTGCAAATGAGCTCACCGGCTGGAATTTCTAGAAGTTGACCCTTCTCTCTCAAACGGGCCCTCACATCAGCATCATTTTCCCAATCCAACGCTAGCCCCAAGCAGTCCATGGCTTGAGGCGGCATGGTTCAATGCCGAAATCCTTGAACCCAAAAAGACCTATCGATGAAAGAATTGGTCGTACCATGCATATATATTTAGCCCTGGTCCTAGAAAGATCCAAACAATCCTGTGCAACACGGCCCACACACGCCGCAATGATCCAAGGTATCAAGCGGCATTAACCGCAGAGTTTGGCCCCAACCAGTCAAAAAAATTGAGCGTCCGGGCTGGCTCCGTGACTGGTGAGGATGATCAGGATCATCACATGGGCACAGCAAACGCTGGGTCAAGGCACCGAATTAGGTGATAAAAACCAATGGAACCCCGGTGATTCAAATCATTGCGGGATATTATGTATGAAGGCAAGTTGGATAGGTTTCCATAGGTTTCCCATTTCAAGTTGGATAGTGTTGTAGCATCGTGGGAATCATAGGCGATTATCATGTTATGTTATGTTATGTTATACTTCGATTTGTGCTGCCCATAAATTTGGATCAACTGATCTATATGTTCCAACAACAGCATCTTGAGATGCATTGAGCCACTTCCAGGGCAATCGGTTGTTCCATCCTGATTGGTTGAACGACTTCATGATGTCATTGGTGTCTTATCATTTGTCAATATTCATATTTAGTTATACATCAAATGTGGTTAAAATAGGGGTTATAAAAAAAACATAGGTTTTTTTAAAAAAACATATCTATTTATATATTCATCAAAAAAAACATAGGTTATCTGATTCTCAACCACAAAAAAGTAGGTATAAAGATACAAAGGTATATATATCTCTCCCTATTAGATGGATTCATGGCCATCAACCCATATAGGTATCCAATCCATCTTTTGACGGCAAGCTTGCGAAGCGAAGTTCGCGCACACAAGTCTCGTGCACAGGTGGCGGGAGAATGTGGCAAATATGATCACCAACAAAACATGATGGATTTAGCATGCACGGATATGGGAGTACAATGATTATTTCTGCACCATCTTATGGGAACATAATTCGAACAGGTTGCCAATTCATGGCACTGTTTTATGGGTAAATCACCTACAAATGGTTACTTTTTTCCATGGCTATCTTAAATTAACAAAGGATATATAGTCAATATGGGTTAATTAGTATAATTATTAGGGTCATCCACCAAAGATGACGCATTTATCCAGCCACATTGGGTGCTGTCATCAACCACATAGGAATTCAACGAACATATTTGTCAATGTTATTGTAGATGGAGGAAATCCTGCATCAGTTGGTAGATAGTTTATCCCATCTTAATCCCATCATTCACAGTGTTTCATTGGAATTCCAATAGTTACCAACTGCTGCAGGATTTCGTAACCATCCGCAGTATGTAATTTTCTCATTTTCTTAATGTTTGAGTCTCTTTACTGGGCCTAAAGATGGTTTTAAAAAATGCTGGGATAAAACCACCAACAAAACACAAAAACGAGCCCGCAAAGCTCTTCAAGGCGGTGCCCCCAACAGGGCAGCAACTCTTGGATTTAACGATGTAGATCTAATAATGCATTATGGTTGAAGTAATATGTAGGGTAGGTCTATGTAGATTTCATTTCTTTTATTTATGGTAGATCATGGTAGATCTATGTAGATATATCTATAATGTGTCATCTATATACCCTCTGGTAAACTAACATAGCTATGGAAAATCCACCCATTTTATAGCTGGGTAAATCAACTATAGATATCTATAAATGGTCATTTTCAATAGCTATTAATAGCTATGTTGAATTACCAGAGGGTATATATAAAGTAAATGATAACGACTTCACTGTGACCTCACTGGCGATGGATTCGGGGAATCCCCTGCCACAGATATATCCCATTGTATATGAATGATCTCTCTAGACTTATATATAACAAAGATACATCACATTACACCACATCACATTACATTGCATTACATTACATACATATTGATTACATACATATATAGATTACATACATAGTATAACATAACATTAAAACACATAACATAACATAACACAACACAACATAACATAACATACATGTGTATTATATATATATACACACTATATAAACATATGAGCCGCGCCAAAAACCTATCTCCTTTGCCATGTCGCTTGGATATGCTTACGCTGGGGCTTGCGCACTGCTTACGCGCACACAGTGTTATCTTACGCGAGAACAATGAGAAAAAACTAGCTTACGCGGAGCTTACGCACTGGGAAATCTCGAAAAAATGATGCCTCACCACAGGTTTTGCTTACGCCACTGCTTGTTTTCCCCGTCAAATATGTTTGCAGCATCAGCGTTGTGAGGATGAAGAAGAGCTAGAGGTCGAAGAAGAGGAAGAAGAGCTACGCGACAGAGGGGCAATGTGCTTCGAAAATTTCAAAAACAGTTCCAACAACGCGGTTTCTTTGGCGCCATTGCAGGTCCGAAAAGGCTTTTGTTTGCGCGGGCATGTGGGCTACTACTCAAAAAGTCAAGTTCAGCTTACGCGCTGCTTACGCGGAGCTTACGCGGAGCTTACGCGGAATGTGGCCATAGTGTTGGGGAATTATAACCAAAAAAAATAGAACAATTAAGAAAACACACAAGGAAACCATAGTTGAGGGGCAATCTCTTACTTTGATTTGCACATGCCACACATGTGCTTACGCACAGTGCTTACGCAGCACTTCTTGACAAAACCCCTTACGCCACCTTGCGCCAACCAGGGTTTTGCTTACGCCAAATGCTCATATGACAAGGCCCTAATTAAAACAATTCAAAACGGTTTTTGGGGTCGCTCATATGATAAACCAACAAACAAAACTAAGGGGCACGTTCTCTCTCTGAACCCCGTCCTGCTCAGTGGCTTCGGATGCTTGGATCGCACGCATCATTCGGGGGCACTGCCTCGGCGAAGCTCGGCGCTCCGAAGTCGTGGGTGAAAAAAACACCCGGGAGATCCCCATGCGCATTGGGAAAACCATAGGAAAACCCATAGGAAAATGGTGACATTAACAATAGTATACTTAAGTAACCAGAAAAAACACTACTTAACATTAGTACATTGAAGTTGAAGTAACCCAATACTTAGTACTTAACATTACTTAACATAAGTAACCAGAAAAAATAAGGAATCTCATGGGATTTAGCTGACTTAAGGCTGACTGTGATATGTATACGGTGGTTTGTAAGCTAAGATTTGGACTTGTGCTCGATATATCTGAAGTAAGATGAGGTTGTTCGCCGACTTATAACTGGGGAGTACGAACCAGTAGTAGGAATCACGCAACAAGACATATACATATATATATATATACACCTGGAAAACCGTATGGACAATTTGTTTTGTCCATTATGGGTTTTACTGGTAATGGCCTTTTTTTTTCAATTGCGTATTTTGGTTTTTGATAGTGAAGGGTTGTTCAAATCCTTTGACAACACCGGGTTCGGACATCCTCCGACAGTCTCCAAAAGAGGAATTTCAGCCCGAGATGGAGCAAATTGGGAGTCGTGATCGGGTACCCAAATCTGGCCACAAATACTGCCATATTTCCAACCAAATTTGGATGTACCCATCAAATACTAGTATTGACCTGTAAGTAGAGGGTTTGCAGCCGGACATGACCGTATTTGGCAAGAAAACGTAACGGACAAAAAAAAAATCCAAAGCCGTACGGACAGAACATGTTGTCTCTATGGCTTTCCAGGTATATATATATACCCTCTGGTTATTTAACATAGCCATGGATTAACCTTGGCTTTGCTTAAGGAACCAAACAAAGATGTGTCTGATTTCCCAAGGACATAATAAGATTGTGCAGCTGTTTCTATATACATATCCCAGGACATATCATGACATATCCCGTCATAAAATATCCTATGGAAATCCAGCAAGATGGCTTGATTCTGACCCATCTCCACATTCTGATCCCGAGCTGAAATCGCCCAGTATCAGGTTGGTGAACAAAAACCGTTTTTGCTGGTGAATCTGTGCTACCTATCAAAAACATGTATAATTTTGAGCTGGTTATATAGGACATTTTACCGATAGCAGAAGATTAAAGTATACTAACCATATCTACCAAACTAACACGGCTATGGAAAAACTATGGACAATCACCATTGTTTAGAGGTAAACCAACATAATTAACTGTAACAATGCCAATTTCAGTAGGCAACAAATTACCAGAGGGTAACTATCATCAAGCCCCATGAGAAATCCCAAATCCCATTCATATGGTGAAACAGGTTTAAACCGTATGTTAAACCCCGAAACTTATGTCACTTTTAGAAATCCCATGAGAAATCCCCACCATTCACCGAACGGTTAACCCATGGGTGAACAACCCATCCGCTACTAGGCCACCGCAGGAAGCGCGCCCGCGCCGCCACGAATTTCCGATGCTCTGCGGAGGCGAACTGCTGGTAGTGGTCGCGGGTGGTGATCAAAAACTCCTCTGGGTGGATTTTTCGAGGGATCTGGGTGGATTGGTGGATCCCCAGTCGATCCCTGGGATTTTCGAGAATTCACCGTATTTTTTGAAAGCCATTAATAATTCAGTCATAGATGACATGGTTCATAGACTATAGATGTTTTGATGTGTTTTGATCGAAGCGCCGCTGATACTTGGGATCCAAGGAATCGAAAAATCGCGACACATGTCGTGGTGGTCAAACATGGCGACACATTCCCTTGAAATGGAGGATTTAGTGGGAAAATGTGGGAAAATCAACTAGAAATATGGGGAAATAGATGGAAAATCAACTAGAAATATGGGGAAATTGATTACAGGAAGTAACCATTTTCCCTGAACAGTTGATTATAACCGCACCACTGGTACCCGTTCGCTGAATTGCCGTGAAGCTAGTTTGACGACTTTTTATATTTTTTGTGGTGGTAAAATAGCCAGTGTCACAGATGGATTTATAAACCAACACACATGACCACGGGGCATCACATTGTATCACATTGTATCATTATTTGTTGACCAGCCGTTTGACGAGTATTTGGATCACGGATTCTTCCAGGATACCCACATGATGTTCCTCCCGAGGAAGGGGGGTTCTTAAATCATGGGGATCCCCAAGTCACCATGGCTTTCGAGACTAAACTTGTGTAATTTTGAATCATTATTTTGGGGTATCCCCATGACTTGGGAAACTTCCATCAAACAGAGTACCTCATATTCCGATGATCATCAATTTTCCCATATGTTCCCAATAAAAATGGGATTATCATCAATTTTCCCATATTTTCTAATGGCTGATCATCATTTTTCCCATATTTTCCAAATCAAAATTCCTATTTTAATGGAAACCTCCCAGGCCTTTTGGGATCAGTTTCCCCAATGGTCTCCGTGTAGTCGGTCGTGGTGACCGTCGCTTGTCGAAGCGTAGAGTCTTGAAGAGCTAACCTTGGCCGACTGAGAGCAGTTTGTTCCTGCAGGAAAAATGTGATATATAAAATGTGCAGCACATGAATCATGAGAAATCAAAAGCAGCAGGAAAATTGATGACATATTGAGATTTTATCAGCAACCGGTGGTAAATATGTATACCTAGACCCTCCAAATACTCTAAATAAAATGCTAAAAGTACTAAACATCGTGGGTAAAACCACCATTTTAAAGGGTACTTGGAGCGTCTATATAGGTCCCCTGGAGATGTGCTTGGGTCCTTGGATTGGAAACTTTCGGAATACATGAAGCACTTGAATTTGGGGGTATATACCTATCCAGCCCCTCAAATCATGTTTGTCCCATCCCATTCTACTACCTGGCTAAACCGCGGGTCTTCCGTTCCTCTTACATGTTTGCGTGGAGCTCTGTTGCTCATGTCAACCTCGCCCATAGTAACTTCTGTTGATTCACTGAGGGATTTCCCTTGACTTCCGCCAAACTAGTGAACATTTATACTGATATTGAAAATGAATATCCGCCCGCTATCACTTCGTTGCTCCATGTATATAGAAAAGGTGTCAACTTTCACCACCAAAATCTTAATTACGTAGGTAAATATGGGTATTAGCAAAACTGGCACTATTGGCATTATGAACTATTACCTTAAGTCATGAACTCCAATCTTGGTACACCCCATGTGAATTCCCAATTTATTCCAATCCTTATGTCCCCCAAACATTAGGATCTCAAGAAAAATCAGTGGCAACGAACTCGAATTTACCAAGACATATGCTGTATCTTAAAACCTTTATATACACTGCACCAAGCCCCGTGTTTCACCAATTTTCCTGATAAACAGCTCCAATTTGTTCCTCCATTTTTCCCGGTCAAAATGTCCTAAATCTTGACTGATTGGGTGGCTCAAAAATGTGAGTCACATTTTTGATTCTGACAACTCCCCAACCAATCAGATTCATCATCCAGGGCCTCCAGGGATCTCTCGCGCCGCCGCGCCCCCAAACTTCCCGGCTCACCTTCGCCCAAGTGGCTCACCAAAGCCGTGACCCTCCTTCAAATGCGCAACGGTGTCCATCTCCATGGTCTCCTCAAGGCGGGAGCCGAGGATATCCGAGGCCAGTCACTTCACCAGGGCCCCATTATATATATATATATATATACATATGTGTATAATATATATATATACATATTATATATATACATATGAAGTATACTAGAGTATCCATCCAGCCAACGGTTGACCCAGCGAACTTCTAACCTTTTCGTGGCTAAATCTCAATGTTCGAGGCTTAAATCCCAGCTTTTCAATCTTTTGTCGAGGGTTCAATGGTGAAAAATTCCATCTTTTGGATGGTGAACAAACTTAAATATGTCAAAATCCATCCAAATTGGATGGTTCACTTATACTTAAACCTTCTTCTTTTTTGGAGCTTCAAATACCCATCTTTTTGGCCCATCTTGGCCCATCTTGGCCCATCTTGGCCCATCGCCCGGAGTCCTCGTCATCTTTGCCAAGCGTTGGCACCAGCGTCTGGACACTCACAGCTCCAGTCCTCGGAGCGGACTGGGGGACGGTTTGTGATCTTGGAAGCATCGCAGGGTCTTGCGTATTACATATGTATTACATATATGTATTAAATATATCTATATATATATGTATATTATATATATATGTATATTAATATATATGTATATTAATATATATGTATATTAATATATATGTATATACTATAACTTATATATATATACATACGTAGATATATGATGATATATGTATGACTAGTGTATTATAACGAGATAGTGTACTTCGTGTAGCGCTCTATTATCATGAATGTACGGATAAATTATTGTAACTATCTTGCATATACACATATATATATATACATGTACGCACATGTATAATGGAAATTAAACATAAACCAACAATATGATTTTGCTCTGTACATTAGGTGGTGCTCCCTGGTTTTGTTTGTTTGTTTGTTTTTTTTAAATCCCATCTAACATCACCAACACAACATCTGCCAGAAACCATTGTGGACCATAGCTAACCTAGTAATTAGTTAGGAACCAACTTAGCCATCTAGGGGTCACCACCTTGTATTTATGTGTGTGTGTGTGTTTGTGTTTGTGTTTATTTGCATATGAGAAAACATAGGCATCTGCATGTGTACAAACCAGCTATGGAATATTCCAATCGATCATCTATCCGCGCCAGTTCCGAGTTCCCAGATTGCCAGGTGTCAAAATGATGTAGTATTTGTCGCCATGGTCACCCATGTTAAAGATCTGCAGATGCAAAGCAAGGAAGTGTGGGCCCCTCCCCAAAAGGGGCCGAGGAAAATATTTTGGATGGACTTCCGAAGAGTCATGGTGAAATTTCTAGATTTGTAAAGACAATTGACCTGATTGGTGGTCTTAACATGTCTTAACCATCTTGAAAAATGTGAGTTCGTCAGTTGGGATGATTATTTATTCCCAATATATGGAAAAATGAAAATGTATAAAAATGTTCCAAACCACCAACCAGAAAGACAATTGACGAATTTTCAGAGTTTCCGGGTGCACAAAATTGAACACATCGCGATTTGAACAAATGGGATCTGTGGTTTTTTCCTCTCTACCCTGGCTGCGAAGCTGGACCAAGCCAAAAAGCAGGGTTTTAAAATCGCTCGGGGTGCATCGCCAATCACCCAACAACGGACCCAGGTACTCTTAAAATCACCCTCGCAACAGATCTGCTGTGAATCACTCCCCAATTAGGAGGAAAAAACATGTTTAAACCTTAGGATCCATCGAAAAAGGTGCTCCATCTTATCCTCTCTGAATCTCACATACGGAAAATGGCCTGTTTGTAGATGATGTACTGAAAATGGTGGGTTTTCCATAGCTCTGTGGGGTAAACCTGCCAAGTCATACCTGGTAACTGCGTCTGGCGCCTTACTTTTGCTGGGGAAGGTTTCCAGACTGATGACCTGACGGCGGAAATGGTGACCCTCTGGTAGTCAAACATGGGCTGGAAAATCATAGAAAATCCACCATGTATACAGTAGAGTAGATGAGTTTTCCGCATTTTCCCAGCTAGAAACCTATATATACAGTATTTAGTTCCGGGAATTCTCAGCTAGCCATGTTCGACAACACCTGTAAATCCATAGAATTGATGGATTTGTGATGGTTAATACCCACCTGCTGGTGCAATCATCTCTAAAAGCTGGGATATGTTGGGAGGGGCCCTTGTATCTATGGTGAAACTTTGTTTACTGGAACTGCACTTTGAAGTAGATGATACCTGGTAAAAACCAGGTATTCGACTGTCTTGCGAGTTTGGGATATGTTGGGTCGCTATGCTGGATATGCTTCTACAACATGTCAAATTTCAATGCAAATAGTAAACAACATGAATAATTCATCTATCATACATGAAAAACAACCCTTTTTGCTGGCCACTTCATGTAGGCTTCCTCTCAATTTATCCCCATGCTGATATCCCATACCATTTTTGTTGGTTTGTATTCTTTTTCGGGTTAGCATTCAATTTATTTTATAGATGAAATCGCTATCTTAGTTTTTTGTTGATTTATGGCTTTATGACTTTATTTGTGGTACAACATGTTTTAAACATCCCATATCCCATGGAGGTGATTTTGGTTCAATCCGATGACATCCACAAGTTTGAAGTTTGATACCATCTGTTTATTGAACATAGCCATGGAAAATCACCATCTTATAATAGGTAAGCCATCTATAAATGGGCAATTTTCCGTGGCTATGTTCAATAACCAGAGGGTAGATTCACGCGCTATTTCTGTTTGTTCGGAGTAAATCCCCCTGATGGCACTGTTACATCGTTACATCCCATCAAATCGGCCGCTTTTTTGCTGAAGCCCCACCTGAATCCTATGACATCCCATTGAAATCCTGCCTTTGGAGTCAACCCACCATGACTCTTGGGGATAAACTCCCGACACGTCTGACAGTGCCTGACAAAGGTGACGTCTCTGAGGTTGTGGAAGCTCAGCAAAGAAGGCCACATCTTGAACGAAGGAAAGGATGATGTCCTGGGTATCCATGACGGGTAAAACATTGGGGAAAGTGAAGGGGGAGGGGCGCTGGAGTTTCTGATGAATGGTTGGCAATGTTTTTTCATGGATGTTCATTGATTTAGTTTTTTCGGGGGAGATGTGCCGTTAGGTAAATCAACGTTGTTTGGGTATGTTTGATTGATGTTTGATGGATTTAAGGGATTTTGTTGGGTATATAAACGGATTGTTTTTAAGAGGATTGATGGATTATTTGAAGGAAGATTTGAAGAGAAAATTGATGGATGTTTACTGGAGCTGAAGGATGATGAAGGATGCTAATGAGATTTGAAAGGATTTTAAAGGTACTACTCATATCAAGCGAGGGATGTCAACGATATCTTCAAGCATTTTACGGGTGGGATAACACCGGCGCCTGGCAATGGGAGAATTCCTGATCGGGATGGACCAGAAAAAATGCGTGATTTTGACTGGTCGGGTAACAGAGTCAGGTATCCTCCAATGAATGGTTAGTGGCTAATGGTGTTTGGCAAGAATTGATCATGCTTCATTTTGATAAAGAGTGGTTAACTAGTGTTTAATCCCATATCCCCAACATCAAACACCCCATCCTATCGTCCCAAATATGTGATTTGATCCCCTATTAAAACCATGGTGTCTTGGTGATATGTAATGAGAATGGGATTACAAACATTGGAATCTGGCCAAGAACGGGGACTCAAGCGGGCTTCGCCAACAGAGATGCAAACGTGTAGCCAACACTGAAGAGCGATTCTAAACGCAAAAATATGGATATGATGGGAGAATTGTTGGGGATTCAACTAATCCAACCAACAACATGACGGATACCGCCACCATTTTTTGGTGACGGTGTCCTGTGCCATGTTCTCCGCTTGACAAAAACCACGTCATTCCGTCGGAACTTGGTTTATACATGTCGGCCCCCACGAAACACTACTTATTTTAGCTTCAAACCAACTTACATACCATAAACATCTATATATATATAATACCATCACATCACATATATCACTCCTCATTTCACTTCGTTAAAAACCGTTTTTTGCTCAACAACTCCCTATGTTTCGCTTACAATTCCCAGCGCTCAACCCGGTCGCGATCTGCTCACTGCTGCGCTGCTCCGGTGGCAGAACCGTGGCTTCCCGGATCACGCTCAACGTGTACCACGGAACCGCCTGCGGCTGCACCGACATCCCACCGTGGTCACATTGCCGGCGGCACGTAGAAGTCACGTGGCGGTGCCGGTCAGTGGACTTGGAGTTACGGGATGTTTTGGGTTTCGTGCGAAGTTATTTTGGTGCTTTGAGGAGTCGAATTCTGAAAAAATGATGCTAACGGCAAACGGCTCCGCAAGTTTCTCCGTTGCTCGCTTTGAAGCGGTCATTGCTTACCGTATTAACATGTTTTGCTTTCCATTACTGCTATGATACCAACATGATATTAACAAATAATATGTTGTTCTTTTAGACACGTTTTCACTACTAAGTCACTACATGTCACTACTCACTACTCATAAAATCTGTGTTTCTGCATGTTTTACTTATATATATATATGGATGTGGGTCAAAATGGAAGACCTAGGGGACCACAGATGTTAGTCTAGTTGAGTATTAACCATCCAATTATTGGGGTACCTAATTTTGACCCATACCCATATGTATATATATATATATGTATATATATATATATATGTTATGGGATGATTTCCCCAATTTTTCCCGAATGCGTAGCGAAGGGTTCCCGTTTATAGTTGGGGGTCTGGGGGTTGGACCCGTGTTCGCCGCCAGTTGGTCGGCGCGTCGTTTTCGCGACGTTTTTCGCGTCGTTTTCGCGACGTTTTTCGCGTCGTTAATTCAGTGTCTATAGGGGAAGCTGCAAAACCTCGTGTTTTTTGCGACGTAGCTGTCGCAGTGTCTATAGGGGAAGCTGCAAAACCGCGTGTCTTTTGCTACGTCGATGTCGCAATGTCTATAGGGGAAGCTGCAAAACCTCGTGGTTTTTGCTACGTCGATGTCGCAGTGTCTATAGGGGAAGCTGCAAAACCTCGTGTTTTTGCGACGTAGATGTCGTGTTTTTTGCGACGTAGATGTCGCAGTGTCAATAGGGGAAGCTGCAAAACCTCGTGTTTTTTGCTACGTCGATGTCGCAGTGTCTATAGGGGAAGCTGCAAAACCTCGTGTCTTTTGCGAGCAGTGTCTATAGGGGAAGCTGCAAAACCTCGTGTTTTTGCGACGTAGATGTCGCAGTGTCTATGAGGGAAGCTGCAAAACCTCGTGTTTTTTGCGACGTCGATGTCGCAGTGTCTATAGGGGAAGCTGCAAAACCTCGTGTTTTTTGCGATGTAGATGTCGCAGTGTCTATAGGGGAAGCTGCAAAACCTCGCGTGTTTTTTGCTACGTCGATGTCGCAGTGTCTATAAGGGAAGCTGCAAAACCTCGTGTCTTTTGCGACGTAGATGTCGCAGTGTCTATAGGGGAAGCTGCAAAACCTCGTGTTTTTTGCTACGTAGATGTAGCAGTGTCTATAGGGGAAGCTGCAAAACATCGTGTTTTTTGCTACGTAGTTGTCGCAGTGTCTATAGGGGGAAGCTGCAAAACCTCGTGTTTTTTGCGAAGTAGATGTCGCAGTGTCTATAGGGGAAGCTGCAAAACCTCGTGTTTTTTGCGACGTAGATGTAGCAGTGTCTATAGGGGAAGCTGCAAATCCTCGTGTTTTTTGCTACGTAGATGTCGCAGTGTCTATAGGGGAAGCTACAAAACCTCGTGTCTTTTGCTACGTAGTTGTCGCACTGTCTATAGGGGAAGCTGCAATACCTCGCGTGTTTTGTTACGTAGCTGTCGCAGTGTCTATAGGGGAAGCTGCAAAACCTCGTGTTTTTTGCTGCGTAGATGTCGCAGTGTCTATAAGGGAAGCTGCAATACCTCGTGTTTTTTGCTACGTAGATGTAGCAGTGTCTATAAGGGAAGCTGCAAAACCTCGTGTTTTTTGCTGCGTAAATGTAGTAGTGTCTATAGGGGAAGCTGCAAAACCTCGTGTGTTTTGCAACGTAGATGTCGCAGTGTCTATAGGGGAACCTGCAAAACCTCGTGTTTTTTGCTACGTAGATGTAGCAGTGTCTATAGGGGAAGCTGCAAAACCTCGTGTGTTTTGCAACGTAGATGTCGCAGTGTCTATAGGGGAACCTGCAAAACCTCGTGTTTTTTGCTGCGTAGATGTCGCAGTGTCTATAAGGGAAGCTGCAAAACCTCGTGTCTTTTGCTGCGTAGATGTAGCAGTGTCTATAGGGGAAGCTGCAAAACCTCGTGTGTTTTGCTACGTAGATGTCGCAGTGTCTATAAGGGAAGCTGCAAAACCTCGTGTTTTTTGCTACGTAGATGTCGCAGTGTCTATAGGGGAAGTTGCAAAACCTCGTGTTTTTTGCTGCGTAGATGTCGCAGTGTCTATAGGGGAAGCTGCAATACCTCGTGTTTTTTGCTACGTAGATGTAGCAGTGTCTATAGGGGAAGCTGCAAAACCTCGTGTTTTTTGCTGCGTAGATGTAGCAGTGTCTATAGGGGAAGCTGCAAAACCTCGTGTTTTTTGCTACGTAGATGTAGCAGTGTCTATAGGGGAAGCTGCAAAACCTCGTGTCTTTTGCTGCGTAGATGTAGCAGTGTCTATAGGGGAAGCTGCAAAACCTCGTGTTTTTTGCGACGTAGATGTCGCAGTGTCTATAGGGGAAGCTACAAAACTTCGCGTGTTTTGCTACGTAGCTGTCGCAGTGTCTATAAGGGAAGCTGCAAAACCTCGTGTTTTTTTTACGTAGATGTAGCAGTGTCTATAGGGGAAGCTGCAAAACCTCGTGTTTTTTGCTACGTAGATGTAGCAGTGTCTATAGGGGAAGCTGCAAAACCTCGTGTGTTTTGCAACGTAGATGTCGCAGTGTCTATAGGGAAGCTGCAAAACCTCGTGTTTTTTGCTGCGTAGATGTAGCAGTGTCTATAGGGGAAGCTACAAAACCTCGTGTTTTTTGCTCCGTAGATGTCGCAGTGTCTATAGGGGAAGCTGCAAAACCTCGTGTGTTTTGCTACGTAGATGTCGCAGTGTCTATTGGGGACGCTGCAAAACCTCGTGTTTTTTGCTGCGTGGATGTCGCCGTGTCTATAGGGGAAGCTGCAACACCTCGTGTTTTTTGCTACGCACAGTAGTACTTGGAAGATCTTGGAAGTAGTTTGTGCGAGCTTTGTAGTACACAGTAGTACTGGGAACGACTTTGTGTAGTACACAGTAGTACTGGGAAGTGCTTTCTGCAAGCTTTGTAGTACACAGTAGTACTGGGAAGTAGTTTGTGCGAGCTTTGTAGTGCACAGTAGTATATACTGGGAACGTGTTTGTGCGAGCTTTCTAGTACACAGTAGTACTGGGAAGTGCTTCGTGCAAGCTTTGTAGTACACAATAGTACTGGGAAGTAGTTTGTGCGAGCTTTGTAGTACACAGTAGTACTGGGAAGTACTTTGTGCAAGCTTTGTAGTATACAGTAGTACTGGGAACGTGTTTGTGCGAGCTTGTAGTACACAGTAGTACTTGGAAGTAGTTTGTGCGAGCTTTGTAGTACACAGTAGTACTGGGAACGTGCTTCTGCAAGCTTTGTAGTACACTGGGAAGTACTTTGTGCAAGCTTTGTAGTACACAGTAGTACTGGGAACGTGTTTGTGCGAGCTTTGTAGTACACAGTAGTACTGGAAGTAGTTTGTGCGAGCTTTGTAGTACACAGTAGTACTGGGAAGTGCTTTGTGCAAGCTTTGTAGTACACAGTAGTACTGGGAAGTAGTTGTTGCAAGCTTTGTAGTACACAGTAGTACTGGGAACGGCTTTGTGCAAGCTTTGTAGTACACAATAGTACTGGGAAGTAGTTTGTGCGAGCTTTGTAGTACACAGTAGTACTGGGAAGTGCTTTGTGCAAGCTTTGTAGTACACAGTAGTACTGGGAAGTGCTTTGTGCGAGCTTTGTAGTACACAGTAGTACTGGGAAGTGCTTTGTGCGAGCTTTGTAGTACAAAGTAGTACTGGGAAGTGCTTTGTGCAAGCTTTGTAGTACACAGTAGTACAAGTGCTTTGTGCGAGTTTGTAGTACACAGTAGGGGAAGTGCTTTGTGCGAGCTTTGTAGTACACAGTAGTACTGGGAACGTGTTTGTGCGAGCTTTGTAGTACACAGTAGTACTGGAACGTGTTTGTGCATGTGTAGTACACAGTAGTACTGGGAAGTGCTTTGTGCAAGCTTTGTAGTACAAAGTAGTACTGGGAAGTGCTTTGTGCGAGCTTTGTAGTACACAGTAGTACTGGGAACGTGTTTGTGCGAGCTTTGTAGTACACAGTAGTACTGGAACGTGTTTGTGCAAGTTTGTAGTACACAGTAGTACTGGGAACACAGTAGTACTGGGAACGTGTTTGTGCGAGCTTTGTAGTACACATAGTACTGGGAAGTGCTTTGTGCAAGTTTTGTAGTACACAGTAGTACTGGGAAGTAGTTTGTGCGAGCTTTGTAATACACATTAGTACTGGAACGACTTTGTGCAAGCTTTGTAGTACACAGTAGTCCTGGGAAGTAGTTTGTGCAAGCTTTGTAGTACACAGTAGTACTGGGAAATCCTTTGTGCAAGCTTTGTAGTACACAGTAGTACTTGGAACGAGTTTGTGCAAGCTTTGTAGTACAAAGTAGTACTGCGAACGACTTTGTGCAAGCTTTGTAGTACAAAGTAGTACTGGGAAGTAGTTGTTGCAAGCTTGTAGTACACAGTAGTACTGCGAACGACTTTGCAAGCCTTGTAGTACAAAGTAGTACTGGGAAGTAGTTTGTTGCAAGCTTTGTAGTACACAGTAGTACTGGGAACGTTTCGTGCAAGCTTTGTAGTACAAAGTGGTACTGGGAAGTGCTTCGTGCAAGCTTTGTAGTACAAAGTGGTACTGGGAAGTAGTTTGTGCAAGCTGTGTAGTACACAGTAGTACTGGGAAGTGCTTCGTGCAAGCTGTGTAGTACAAAGTACTGGGAAGTAGTTTGTGCAAGCTTTGCAGTACAAAGTGGTGCTGGGAAGTGCTTTGTATAGTGTGGAGTGGGGAGTGTAGAGCGTGTAGAGTGTGGAATGTGTAGTGTAGATTGTAAAAAGTAAGAGTGTAAAGTGTAGAGTGTGGAGTGTGGAGTGTATAGTGTAGTGTAGAGTGTGGAGTGCAAAGCGTGGAGTGTGGAGTGTAAAGTGTGG